TGCTCCGTGCAGCAGCAGCACTGCTGGGATGCTGCCAGCGCCCCCCGTCTGCTTTGCAGGCAGAGTTCCTGATTTCTTCTTCCTTTTCCTAGTTTTCTAAATGCCTTCCCAGTTTACTGATTGACTTTGTGTTTGCATTGTAACTGCAGTAATTGGTGCTGCTCTCACAGAGTCATGGAATGGCCTGAGTTGAAAAGGAGCACAGTGCTCACCCAGTTCCAACCCCCTGCTGTGTGCAGGTCGCCAACCAGCAGCCCAGGCTGCCCAGAGCCACATCCAGCCTGGCCTTGAATGCCTGCAGGGATGGGGCATCCACAGCCTCCTTGGGCAACCTGTGCCAGTGCCTCACCACCCTCTGGGGGAAAAACTTCCTCCTAATATCCAACCTAAACCTCCCCTGTCTCAGTTTAAAACCATTCCCCTTTTCCTATCACCATCCACCCTTAGAAGCAGTTGTAGCCCCTCCTGTTTATATGCTCCTTTCAAATATTGGAAGGCCACAATGAGGTCTCCCTGCAGCCTCCTCCAAACTAAACAAGCCTCAACCTTTCCTTATAATTCAGAGGGCTGAATTTCTATCTCCTGGCTGCTTAGCGCTAAACTTTTGGTGGGACCATTAATAGGAGGAACAGGAATGTTATGGGACATCTGTGCAATGCCTAGATTGTTGTCAAGGCCGAGCATGAAATATACAGGCTGTTGATTGAAATAGATTACTCACTGAATGCTTTATTGGCTGTTCTGCAATGAGATGAGCGCATTCAGGAAGCTGGATGGCTGCAGAGCTCAGCAGAACAGCTGCACTTGGGTTGTTTTTTGCCCCCTCCCACCTTGGCAGGGTTGGCTGTGTTGGTACAACAGGGTGAAGCCAAGCTCAGCGCACACGTAGAGGCACTCCCTGCTCAGCCAGGGGTGCGTGTGAGCAGGTAATGAGGGCAGCTGCTCCCAAGCCTGTTGCCCTCGCTGAGCTGTGCCTCAGGTGCTTTGCAGGGAGATGATGGTGCTCTTTCCCAGCACTTGGATCACCCAATTCTACCGTGCGTGGGCAAGAAGGAGGAAGCAAAGCCAGATCTGGTGAGGAGTGCTTGAGAAGAATGCAGCCTTGGTATGGGTGGGGATGGGAGCTGAGCCTCGAGCTACCAACGTCGGTGAGAAGATGGGTCTGATATTTTCACCACCTGGGTGATGTTATGTGTGAGCCACCAGCTCCCAGGGAAATGATATCTCGTGTGGATCAGCGGTTTGAAGGCAGTGCTGCTCGCCGTGTAGCCACGTGATTTAATGAACACTTTGCTCAGCAATGTCTGGAGCCAGGAGGATTGCAGAAGTTCAGCCCTCCCGAAGTGGAGCGGGCTTTTCTCCAGGAAGTGTGCACACATGGCGCAGTGAAGCATGGCAGGATTTGTTACTCTTTTTTAACTGTTCACTAGCAGTTGCTCTGATATTTGACTGACTGAATTCCCAGCTTTTGGGTTCCCTCCAGCTTTTCTGTGAGCCCCAGGAAGGTGCACCCCAGCCTTCTCTCTTATGCTGTCTCCCAAACCTGTCTCTTTTGGCCTAGAAACCACAGTGCTTTGGGAAGGTCCATCTGGCTGTGAATCCCATCCTGCTTCCATTCTCTGGAGCGCAGTAGCCAGCAGGAAACCTTCTCTTCCCTCAGTATCAGAGCAGCCTCCTGTTGAGAGCTGGGCTGCAGTTCCCACCCCGTTATCTCCATCTCTGTGCCTTGCTGTGACCATTTGCTCAACATCATCCTGGAGATCTTTGCTCACCCCTTTGGATTCCTCCAGCCCTGCTGCTGATGCACGGCACTGACTCAAGTATTCACCACGGCTCGTTTGATGCAGCTCCAGGATGTGTACTCACTGAACCCTGGCTGATGGAGAAGGAAGAGCAGAGCCTTCAACTGTGCCAACTGCTCCATCCGAAGCCCTCCTTGAGTCCAGCTGTGGACCCCTACCCTCCAAAAAGCAACCTGAGCTCCTGCAGCGGAGTCTGTCCCCGATGGGGAAACAGCTTAGAGAAACTCTAGAGGGTTAAAAAAAAAACCACAGCTCTGAAACGAGCCCGGGGGAAAAGTCACATGCACAGGGGAGGTTTTGCAAGTCAGTGCTTGTGGCGCGGGGTGATGGGAGCGCAGAGCTGCGGGCGCTCGCCTGCGCTGTGCATCCCAGCAGTGGGACCTCCCCAACCTGCAGGGCACAGTGATGGGCGGTGCGGGGCAGTGAGGAGGAGGAGGGAGCAGAGTCTGCACCCCAGGAGCACGGCTGGATGAGGTATGGCTCCGGTGGGCTCTCCGTAGTGAGGACACAGCAATGGGGCTAGGTTGGCTGGGGCTTGGAGAGGTCTGTAGGGGCAAGGGGGCAAAGGGAACGGCTTTGTGTTAAAATAAGAGGTGCACAAAGATGCAGAGCCCTGGGGAGCGCAGGCAAGGAAGGCTTTGAGGGGCCAAGCTCCATGCACAGGAGCTATAAGAGGCAATGGAGCCAAGTGAGGTCTGTGCTGCACAAATGGCTTAAAGCAATGCTCCTGTTGTCTCTGGGCTCGGCTGTGCTGGGGAAGGCTGTAGCTATAGAGCTGCCCTGGATGCTCCCACAGAACTCAGCATGGGTGCCTGGGACAGAGAGCACTGCTTCAGCTCTAACTTAATGTGACAGCTTGTAATTAGGCTTCCCTTCTGTCTCCAGCACTGAGTGGGTGCTGAGGCCATCCCTGTGCACAACACACACCTCTTATGCAAAGTGCACCATGTTTGGCTTCTTCAAGTGTTGAGTTTCCAGCCTTTGCAGTTATTTTGTTCCTCCTTTACAACCATACAAACCTTTTGTTTTGCTTCCCTTGCCTCAATTTCCTGTCTGACAGTCCAGGCTATCCTGGCTTTGTGCAAAGGGGTGATTGCAGCAACAGCCATGAGTAACAAAAAAAAGCAGCAGCCCTTTTGGAAGGAGAGCTGCTGAGATGTGATCCTGGGCAGTGTGCTCTATTTGACTGCTTGAAGCAGGAGGTTTGGACTGGGTGATCCCAAGGGGTCCCTTCCAACCTCAACTGTTCTGTGATGAGGGACCCCCAAACCTACCTCCTGGTGCAAAAAGGTGGAGTTAAGCTTAAAATTAAACGATAGCTTTGTCAGCAGAGTTGCAAGAATGGAAGATAAGTAAACTTCAAAGCCTTCCATGCACTTGGTTTGCATAACCACCCGCAGATCCTTGCAGCATTCCCTGGAAAACCCATGGGAACGGCAGCTGCTGTGGGGGTGAAGATGAGCAGAGCTCCCCACGTTGCTTCCTGCTCTGCTGCTGCTCTCCTCTGCTTGGGCGGGTGCGCAGTTCTTCCTTATCTGCACCATTTCCTTCCTGTGATAGGGTATTCCTGTAATCCAAATAAGCAAGAGGAAAGCCTGTGCATATTGCACTGTTAGCACCTGCGTGGTGGTAATATCAGAGAGCTCAGCGCTCTCACCCTTTATTTGCTGCCTCTGCAAGATCTTTGAATTCTTCTCCTTCCTCTTTTCGGGGCTAGAAAATGCTGCCATGCTCATGGGAAGCAGAATCTCCAGGAAGTCACCAGTGGGAGTCTGAGTGAGGATTTCACAGCCTGGTCCCCGGTGAGGAGAGCGAGCTGCCTGCTGCCTGGTGCTGTGAGATAAGGGAGATCCAAGAAACGCTGAATTGCTGACGCTACAGCACAAAGTTCTTAAGGAGCGGTGCCTTCAGCATGGCCTATAAAAGCCAGGATGGTGGGGTTGAGAAAAACAGCTCGCTTTCCTCCGTCCTGTATTGTAAGAGTGATTCGAAGGAAGGATCCCCGCAGTGGGTGAAAGGTAAGTGAGCAGGGTTGGACCGGAAAGTCCTTCAAGAGTCTCTTCCAACTTCAGCAGTTCTGCGGGTCTGTGAGCTTGCTGGTGACTGAGGAATGCAGTGCTGAGCAGAGCGCCAAGCAAAACCTTAAATTGTTCTTTGCAAGTGAAGAAATCTTTGGGAAGCTTGACCTGTGCTTTCTGAGTGCCTCTCCTCCCCATTAACTGAGTGCTGCCTCTGCAGCAGTGCCTCTGAAGCAGGGGCTGAACGAAGTGCCATGGATGGCCTTGTTTGCACTGAGTGTTCAGCAGTTCTGTTCATGGCACCTCCTGTGCTCTGCTTTCACAGCACTGAAGCAGCTCTTGTTGCTCCAGCAGAGGTCACAACCTGAGCTTCTCTGCATATTTTGGGTATCTGAGCTCAGTACCCTGGCATAGTCTTATGCCAAGCACCTCAACCAAAGCCATGGAGAACAGGAGAGCCCATCCCAAGGGCTAAGGCCACTTGTTTTCATTCTTTCTTCATACTCATCACCTCCACTGCTAAATCTGGGGATTAACTTCAGCAAAAAAAGTAGGACATTATTATCCTGGAGATTCTGGATGCATCTTCCCTTCTTGACTTGAGGCAGTCACACCCTACTGTAATGCAATTCCCTCAGTTAACTTGGCACCTTCTGTACCTGAGCAGTGAAGAGATGATGAGGATAGAGGATGAAAGCAGGACAGAAGGGAAAGGGGAGTGCATGCTGCCCTTGGGCCAGCACAACAGCCTGGGGGAGCACTGCGCTGTGCCATAGAAGCAGCCCCAAGGCATGGGCTATCCCCAGAGCTGCAGAGAGGAAGGAAAGCTGGATGAAACGTGTCAGTGAAATAGGAGCTCATGTGAAAACACCACTTTCTTGGCCCTCATTTCTTCCTGTTGGCATAGCTCAGCTTGTGTAAGCTCTGGGGGAATGCCATCCATTCGAAGTACGCCGTGGCAGTCTGTGTTGTCAGCCTTCCCTTCACCACAGGCTTCTGAGCTGCTGGCATTAAACCCATGCCAAAGCCATGCTGCTGACCTCTCTGGGTTTTTGCAGAACCCCGCAATGGCCAGGTGCTCATGGTTCTCAGCATGGACAACACCTGCTCATCTGCCTCCTTCGACATGGAGCTTTGTGCAGAGAAACTCCAGTCCCTGGGGGTTCAGGTAAGCTGCTCACCTGTCATCTCCCCCGGTGGCCCATTGGAGTGAATGCTGGCTGGGTTGACACTGTTTGCACCCAGATTTTTGGTTTTTTTGGGGGGTGTGAAGTTGGTTTGTTTCAGTTTAACTTCAGTCTATTCCTCATTGACTTCAAGACAACTGTAATGACCTTGGCTTAAAGCTCCGTGAAGAAACCCATTCAGCGCAGGTACAGCTGAAGAGCATGAAAGCACTCCAATGTGCTAGAACATCCCTGGGACAATCTGTCTCGTCTTGTCCTTTGCCATAAAAACATGCTTTTTCTTCTCTGCCCTTTGCAGGGAGACATCGCTCACTGCAAATGAAGCATGCAGCATTCTGGTCAATGACAGCCGTAGGGATGAGGCTGGAGTCTGAGCCTGTGCCCTCTGCACACACTGGGTCTGCAAGGCAGGCTGAGCCCCACCAGACCTGTCAGAGCTGTTCTGATGGAGCTGAGGGCCTGGTGGGGTTGGGGAATGGCTGTGCCCCAAAGGGCAGTGGGGGCTGCACAGCTCCCAGGGCAGTGGGCATGGCTCTGGAGTTCAGGGAGGCCTTAGGGTTGTGTAGAGCTGCATGGAGCTGGGAGTTGGACACTGTGATCCTTTGGGTCCTTTCCCACTCAAGGCAATCCATGATTCTTGCTCCTGGTTCCCTGAGCAGGCGGCAGCGGGTGAGTGGAGGAGGCTGATCGAGGAGGCAGTCCTGAAGCCCGAAGTGAGGCGATACCTCTTCTACAACTCCAGGGCATTCCAGATAGCCATTGCTGTGGTAAGGATGCTGGGCGCTCCCTCCGTTTTGCTGTCTTTTGCTTTGTTTTTAATGGAAAGGCTGAGTTTGATAGTCCTTAGCATCCCCCTTGAGCCCAGTGTCCATCTCCCTTCACCACCCTTAGTGCTCTGACACAGGAGCTTCCAAAAGAGAGGGACTATCACAAGCGTTACCAATATTCCTCAGTGAGTGCGTAGCTTATCTAAATGGAAGAACTCAACTGAAAACGTTCCTAGATATGAATCATCATTAATAATTCAGTTTGTCTTTGATGATTGGTAACTTTTGATGATAAACTAGTTCTCAGTCCTTCTAGACCCCTCTCTCCTTGATTTGTTATTGCAAAGAGCTCATGCCCTCCCTCACTCTCTGAATATCCCAGACGACTTAATTAATTTATGGCAAGGTCTCTTCTTCCCTTGACTTCTCTCACTTCTGAAGTTTTACAAGAGCCATCCATCTCTCTGGGTTCTCACAGATTTTCTACATGTCTCTCTGGATAAACATTTACACCACGGTCCAGCTCTGCTCCTTTGGGCACTACTGGGAGGCCAGCGTGCTGGTGACTCTGGCTGCTGTGGCTGTCACTGTGGTTGTGATCCTGGTCATCGACCACCGCCAGAGAAAGGTGAGCTGACCCAGGGAGCGTGGGGAGTGAGTTCCCTCCCACTGAAGTGCTGGGATCTGCAGCTTTGGTACACGTCCAAAGGAGGGCAGCAATGCTGGGGAAGGGTCTGGAGCACAAATCTGATGAGCAATGTCTGACAGAATTGTTCAGTCTGCAGGAGAGGAGGCTCAGGGGAGACCTTATTGCCCTGTACAACTCCCTGAAAAGAGGTTGTGGTGAGGTGGGGATTGGCCTCTTCTCACATGTAGCAGTGATAGGATGAGAGGTGATGGCCTTCAGTTGTGCCAGGAGAGGTTCAGGTTGGATGTTAGGAATCTTTTCTTCTCCAGAAGAGCAGTGGTGCATTGGCACAGGCTGCCCGGGGAGTGGTGGAGTCACCATGCCTGGAGGTGTTGCACTGAGGAACCGTGGGGATGTGGCAGTGAGGGACACAGTTAGTGGGGATGGGTTGGGATTGCGTTTGGTGCCCTTAGGAATCTTTTCCAATCTTAATGATTCTGTGTGGATGCTCCATCCCTGGGAGGTGTTCAAGACCAGGTTGGATGGAGCCCTTGGCAGCCTGCTCTACTACCAGATCTGGAGGTTGGTGGCCCTGCCTGTGGCAGGGGATTGGAACTTGATGACCTTGAGGTCCCTTGCAATCCAAGCCATGCTATGATGCTATGATTCTATCTCCTAGATGCATATGGGGATCATGGTTAGCAGGGAGAGGACAGAGTATTTTTAGAGCAGGCTCAGAGATCTGGTTCAGGCAAGGGATGTTGTAGCTGCGTGTCATAATGCCTAGAAAGTATGTGTGAAAGTAAGAAAGGGATGCTCAAAGCATCTGCTGTTGCTGGGAAAAAGCAACCATTGCACAGCTCCCACTCCCACGGTGGTGAGCAGCCTTGAGCTGGGCCAAGTTTTGCCACAGAGCAAGTTATTTTTTCCTGCATTCTTTCCTAGATAAATATGAATACAGATGTACGGCTGGCAGCTGTCAATGAATTCTTTATCAAACACAGCTTAATTCTGGGGATTACTGATGTCCTGGATGGGCCACACAGCATCCTACAAGTATCCTTTCTGTGCAGAATTTTTCCTAGCCCCTGAGCAGCCTGATCTGGTGAGGGGCAAACAGCCCATAGCAGTGGAGTTGGAACTTGATGATCTTTAAGGTCCAATCCAACCACACTGTGATTCTGTGATAGGGAGAATGTTTACTGATGTAGTGATCCATAAGGCTTTACACAGGGTGAGATTTCTAAGGTTGTTTTCTTCCTATTGGATGGCGTGGAGAAGTGGGTATTTTTCTTCTCCCATCCATAGGCATTGAGATATACCCAAAGGCCACTGGGAAGAGTCTAAACGACTGAAGTGAAATTAGTCCTTGGGGCAGACAATTATTCCTGAAATTGTATTACGTTTACATGGCAATGATGGGTCTTATTATGAGAATCACAGCAGTGTGCCTATGGCAAAAACAAACAAACAAACCACAGAAAAGTGGAGTCCCAGTTGTGTTGTTCCTTGCAGAGAGGAGCTAAGCCAGCAGCATCTGAGTGTCTCTGCTCTCAGGAAGCAGCAGGGTCTGTTGTGACACAAGGGGAAATGGTTTCCAACTAAAGGAGGGGAGATTTAGATTGGATATAAGGAAGTTTTTTACAGTAAGGGCAGTGAGGCACTGCACAGGTTGCTCACAGGGCTGGTGATGCTCCATCCCTGCAGACAGGCAAGGTCAGGCTGTTGGGGCTCTGAGCCCTGCTGGAGCTGTGGGTGTCCCTGAGCACTGCAGGGAGTGGGACCTGATGGCTTTTAAGATCCCTTCCAACTCAAACCATTCTATGATTCTTAACCTGCTCGTCCCAGCTGTGGTTTGTGCACTTCAGCCCCGAGCGCTGCCTTCAGTCCCTGGCAGCCCACATCACAGAGCTGCGGCAGGCACAAGAGGTAAATGACAGCAGGCACAGCCTGTGGTGGCACGGCCACCCTATGGCCTGTCTCTGCTGGAAACTGGGAGCTGGGCAAACTGGGAGGTGGACAGACTGCATCAACTGGTGCCCAGTGCGGCAGGAATTTATTTAGGACCTGTGGTGTGAGCATAGCTGGGTGATCGACTGCGCAACTTTCGGTAAAGCAAAGTCGTCAAGGGTAAATGCTGAAGGCAGGTGTTACTGTCTGAAATAGCTGACACCTTGAGCTGTCCTCTTGAAATAATGAGATAGCCTGAGGAATAAATAAGCACCGCACTGGGTACCTGGATGGGAATTTTGTCCTCTTGGCCTTTGGAAAGTCTCTTCCTTTTTGTGGGTGCATAGATATCTAAACTCTACTGGCCAGTTGTGGCTGCAGGACAGGAGGTGAGGGGGTACAACCCCCAAATCTTGTACTTTTCTTGACTCCTGAGAGGATAGTTTTGGTAGGAAATCATGTTCTTTGTCTCCTTGCATCCCCCAAACTGTCCTTCTCCTGCAGCTGGGCTGGCGGCACAGGCTGGACCAGCTCTGTGTGGTGATGGAGGTGGCTGTTCCTGCAGCAGAGGACACTTCATGCGAGGAATCACCTCTCCTATCCGGTGGGGAGAGCTTCAAGAAAGAGTCCATGATGTGCAATGAGCTGCTCCACCTCATCCCTGAGGGCCCCCCAGAGGTAATGAGAAATACCCTCCTATGGGCAGAGCACCTCCTGGGCAGGTTGCCTCCAAAGTTCGTCCCAGTAGACATCACCTATGGGGTAGAACAGCTGCAGACCTAGAGGTCCCCTCATGCCTTATCCAGTCCTGACAGTAGTAAGCAGTTCATGCTTATGGCCTTGATGCTGTCTGTTATGGGTCAGACGTTTCCTTCTGGTCCCTATTTGGAAGTAGATGTCTGCTAGGACCTGGTGCCCATGTCTGGGCCGCGTATGGCCATGCTGAGCCCTCAGCTCTTCCATGGAACATGCCCTCAAACACTCGTGCCATGCTGAGTGACAAATGCGTCCTCATTTCCACTCAGCAAGAAACTTCAAAAGAGATTATTCTGATTTATTTCTCAGTTTTCTGCTTGCTGTTACTAAATGAATTCAGTGCAGGTGACATCCCTGTTGGTAGAAGCTCTCCAGCCATCTGATGGCAAAAAAAAACAACACCCAAGAGGAGGTGATGGCAGAACAGGAGGGTCCCTGAGCAGCCTGGCTCCCAGCCACCCCATCCCAGCCCTGGGCTGGCCTTGCTGCTTGCCCCCAGCCTGGTACGTCACTGTCCTGGGGACAGTGTGACAGCGCTGCTGAGCAGAAGGGGATGTGGAACAGTTATGTATCTGTCCTTGGCTTCTGTCCTGATTCTGTTGGACAAGAGCAGTGTTTAGAATGAGGCAGACACTGACCCTCTCGTGCTCGTTCCAGGTGATGGCCCAGCAGCTCCTGGTGATCTTCAGTGCCTGCTACGTGAGGCTGCTGGTCAGTGGCCGGCTGCCCCGTCCTGTGCTCTCTGGGCACGTGGAGGGCAGCAGTGTGCCCTGCCCATGCCAGTTCATCCAAGCCTCTGTGCTCAGCACAGGGCGCTGCTGGCTGCCGGGCAGAGGGCTGCGGGGGGCTGAAGGGCAAGCACAGCAGTGTGAAGAGGCAGAGAAGGCTTTCACCACTCATCCCGGACTCTGGAAGAAGGAGTGGAAATAGGACTCTAATAAAGCATGCAAACTTGCCATGCATTCATTACTGCTGTGCTGTAAGCCCACAAGCCATAGCAGCGGGGTGTCACCGGTTCGCTGTGCACAGGGGTGGTACGAACCAGGCTCTCAGACTCTGTGCTTTGGCTGATTTTACCTTCTTGGAAGCAGTCTGAATGCAAAGTCAGTGGGAGCACAGTTTGTTTTCATAGTATACAAATTGGATTCACTGCTGGGATGCAATGGCTTGTGCATTAGCCACGTGAAGTGCTTCTTGGTATGGAGTGCTGCTTGGAAAACCTCCTGCTGGGTCAGCATGAGGGAATCAGGCCAGGCTTAGAGCACAGGACTCTCCAGCAGAGCCTGAGGAGGAGACAAAGCTCAGCAGCTCCCATGCTGTGTTCTGGACACCACAGTTGCCCCCACATCCCAGAGAGGGACATGGCATCCCCAGGGAGGGCTGTGGTGTCTGCAGGGATGGATGCAGCCTCTCTTATCCACAGCGACAGGAGGCTGCCATGGACCCTTTGTTACTGGTAGCTGAGACAGCTTCCCTAATTGCAGTAAGCACCTAGCAATTAACTGGTGTTAAGCGTTGAGAAAAACTTAGCTTTAATCAAAGGAGGAGTTTGATTCCTCTTGCTAATGCACCCCGGCACCTACCATGCTCTGGCCTTATTGCAAGGCAGATGGCTAATGCCTCACTTTTCCTTCGTGTGCCCGTAATTAAAGCATCAGTGATGAGAGACATCCCTTCCCCCCTCCCAAGGATACAGTTGTTATTCTATGGGAAATGTGATATTCTGGAGAGTTTACAGGACCCCCAGGCACACAGCTCCCTGGTACATGGCAGTGCATTCTATTACCAGCAGAGTGCCAGGTGATGTGAAGTCACAAAGGTCCTCCAAGAAAGACATTGCTCGGGGGGTATCAGTGCCACAGTGGGGTATGGCTGCATGGCCCTGCTTTTTGCCCCAGAACAAATCACTTTGTGGGCTGCTCCACGGGGCTGAGCGGTGGCACTCGATGCTGCTGGCAGCACAGAGTTCCCAATTGCTGGGCCATGTAGCTTTGGGCTGAGGGGAAGGGGACAACAGTTGGCGAATGGCAGCAGTGCATCACAGGGGTTGTACCAATGGCCCTCCCCATGCTGCCCAGAGCCCACCCCCATGAGATGGGAGCCCTGCTTGGGAGGGTCTGCCAGGAGATGCCGAGTCTGTGATAGGGTGCAGCCAAAAGGAACAGAAGAAACGGAGTTCATCTAATGGGCTGAAGGAGTGGTGCTTGGGCCGGTATCCTGGCTGTGATTCAAGCCACTCCATGATCAGACTTTCTCTCCAGACAAGCCGAGGCCATAAAATATGCAGCGTATTTGCCATGCAGAAATCCCACTTATGCTCTCTTGAGGTTTCCTTACCATTGATAATTACTCAAACCTTTTTCTATGGAGCTCAGCAAAGCTGTCCTTCCCACCCTGCCTGCCTCACTCTCCTCTGCATTTTTGCATCCCTGCAGCCCGGTTCCTCCTCCTCCTGTGGGGATGGAATATGGCTCCATGGTGTGTTTGAAGCATGGGGAGCTGGAAGCTGAGCAGACCTAAGAGCCAGGTGAATTCTGAATCCTGTTTTCTTAGGCCGGAGCAATGTGCTTCCTATCTCCAATTGCTCCTCAATGAACTGAGCTCCTACCTCAATGACCTTGCCTCGGGGCTAATGGGAAGCAGGCACTGCATCTCACAGCACTGCAAACCCATGGCCTGGGCTGCTGCGGAAGAAAGTGCAAGATTTATGGTGTGAGATAGAAAGGAGATAACATCACGTGGTCTTGTTCCGGTGTTTCATGCTGGGAGGTTTGAGAAAGCTCTGATGCACAGGGCTGAAAGCTGTAATTTGGCACAGAGAGCTTTACATCAGCGGGAGCCCTGCTGTGCTTTTGTGCAGTGCCAGTGAAAAGCAAGGGCATGAATGAACGTGAATCACAGAATGGTTTGGGTTGAAGGGACCCCAAGGATCAAGTTCCAACTCTTAAAAGCATGGGCCACGATCTTTGCTCTTAATGCTTAATAATAACTCCCCATCACATCACCAGACAGCACTGGAGCCTCCAGGAATGCGTGATGCAAGATCTGTAAGTGTGGTAAAATTCAAGTCAAGGAAAAAATCCAAACCCTACACATCCTCCTGCCGCTGCCCCAAGTCCTGCCCCAAACCCACAGCCATCACTCCCTTCTGGAGGACACATCCTCCCATAACAGAGGCTTTGTCAGGACAGGAACGAATGGCTGAAACACAGCTTTGTGTTTTAGCAAGGAGAGCTGGAGGGTTGAGCTTCTCTTCCAAAGCTTTGCTTACCAAGCCTTTGGTTTCCCCCACTCCAAAACTAATGCAGGTAGGCGTTGCCCTTTGCCCAAAGCGAGCCATAGAACTGGTGTGTCCCGCTGTCCCGGCTGTGCAGGCACATCCCTCTAGATGGTGCTAAGCTAAAGAGAAAAGGGTGGCCTTGGAGCGCTGCCCTGCACTGTGCACCTCTGCATGTTGGGCACCGCCATGTCTGGGATGGGAGAACAACTCTGCTCACTGTGTGTTCCCATGCATCCATTCTCGTGCCCTCCTATGGCTCCTGAAGATATCCCTCGAGCAAAGGTAACGAGAGCTGTTACAAGGAGCCATGTGGCCACTACAGCATGGACTAAATGCCTGTTTTCCCAAAGGAAGGCCACCTCAAGAGCTCACAGCCAGGCTGCCAGAGAAGAGCAGTGGGGGATAGCTGTGCAGGAGAGAGCTTACCAGTCAGCAAACAAATTTTGTTTTGGATGGGCAGTGAGTATGCTACTGAAACAGAGCTATTGTTAGAAAAGGTTTATTTTTGATCCTATGATTCAAATCTGTTCTTCTTCTTGCTAAGTGCAAATGGGGGAAGAGCATCCCAATTGACACTAAGAGCAGTGTGATGATGTAACACTGTGGGGAGAGGAGAGCTGAGCTCCTTGTTCTGCAGAGACAAAGGTGTTTGTGCACGTTGGTCCCATTGATGCATGACTTGGTGCTTTGGGAACAGATTTTGTTGATCTCCAGTATAGGTCTGTTGGTGTCAGCAGTGAGTGCAGCTTCTACTCCTACAGCAGAGGAGGAAAGCTTTGGCCAAGTTTCCCTTCCAAAAATGGCTCGTTTCCATTCATGATGAGCCCAGAAACTGGATTAAGAGCTCTAGTATTTGAAATCCATAATCTGGATATGGTTTTCAGAACAGTTCAGCCCCTTTGTAAGTGGTAAATTATGCTCTTAAGAGCTCAGCACTTTGCCTTGAGCATCCTGATATAAAATGCAATGATTAGTGTAAAGTTCATCACCCAGCACTCTGGTATTGTGGGAAAACCATGGTGATGATCAGAGGTGATGGGAGACCTGAGCTTTTCTGAAGGTCAGATTCCTCATTTTCTTCTTTCTTTTCCAAGAACTGCCAGCACCTCCAAGATACCTTGCCCTCACGTTAATCCCTGGGCATCCTCCAGACAACCTAATGCCCCTCAAAGCTCTCAAAGCTACATTTCCCATGACCCCAGCACACTGCCTTGTGATGTGGCAGCAGCGAAAGGCACAGCGTGCAGCTGTAAACACGGGGCTGCTGCTGTTTACTTCAGCTCTGAACAGCAGCCACAAACAGGCCGGGATGGAAAACTGCATTGGCGTCACCAGGAATGGAAGCGTCAGCAAATGTCAGCTACTCCAAACAAAGCTGTCCTCACAATGCCCGGCCTGCAGGGAATGGGATGGTGGCAGTGTGCTGGAGGCTGCCTGGTGAGGCTGCCTGAGAATGCAATCACCAGACAGGAGAAGGCGTTTTGGAGCCAAAGTTGGCGCGGTGTTTTTCCAGGTGCTTCATTCTTGGCATCAGCGGTGGGGGATTCCTGCTGAATCGAACATTCCTCAGGTGGGACTGGCACGTAGCACCTTGACGACCTCTTTGCCAGTGTACAGGTCTTGTTTTGTGGCAGGCCGATGCCACCAGCTGCACAGGGCTCTTCTTACCAGCCTGGATGCAGCAGTTGCAAAAAACACAGCAGGTTTCTGAAGAACTGGTCCTGGCATCTGTAAGTCATGCAGAGGTGAAGGTGATCACCAACACTGCATGGCAAACCCCCTGGCACGGTTTGGCGGTGCCTTTCCCAGCCCTCATTACTCAGCCCAATTTTCTTGCAGCTGTGCCTCTTTTTCACAGCACTGTTTTCCTGCAGGAGGAGGTTTGTGTTGTGCAGTTCTTTGCCTTCTACCCTCTGCCCACTCTGTCTCCTTGGTTGCCGTCCAACTTCCAGCGAGTTCACGATGCAAACTAAAACTGGCTGCTGAAACAACTTGCAAATGCAAATCTGCATTTTCTGTCCAAGCTGTCGTTGTGTTTTCCCCCAGTGTGGGCATCAGCAGCAAGCAGTATGCACCAGCGCCAAGCTGGGTGAGAGGTGGAGTCCCCACCCATGGAGCATGAAAGGAATGTGATACAAACTCCTTCCCACTGGCATCTGGTGTCACATCTCACCACAAGTGAGAAATCCCAACTTCAGGAGAGGAAATACTGTTTGTTTTTTTGCCTGCTTCCAAAAGTTGCATTTGGATCCTTAAATATGCGAGCTGAAAGTTTTCATTCGACATCCTTGGCTACTACTGATGCGTGTGCAATAGCTTCATGTGATGCAGCTCTTTATCAGGAAGGAATCCCAGCTGTAGTTAACTCACGCTGCAATGCCGTCAGGCAGCCAATGAGCTGAGGACATTTGACTCACGACTCCGACTTTTGGTTTTGTTGTAACTCCAGATTCATTTCCAGTGATGAACGATGGCTCATAAGGCACGGCAGTGCTTCCAGTAATGAAAGGGAGACCACAGCAGCTGCATGGAAAGGGAAGTACTCTCCCAATGACACCGTGTGCTGTTACATGGCCAGGCTGCAGATATTTCTTTCAGGCTGAAACAAGGAGAAAGTTGCATCAGTGGCAGCAGGATGATTGGGACCCTCAGGGACCCTGAGCTGTGAATGAGGCACATGGAAAAATGCCTTTTTCTTAAGATTTCCCCAGTATGGAAACGATTTGTGTTTAAAGAGATGATGCTTGCATGATAAATACCAGTGAAATATGTCCTTGCCCATGGTGGGGGATTTGAAACTACACCATCTTCAAGGTCTCTTCCAACCCAATCCATCCTATGATTTCACAAATACCAAATAACTGTAGCAAAAACGTCCAGGTGTTGGTCTGTACCTTGAAAGGGAACGGTGCAGAGCCACATCCTTAGCCAGTGTAATAACTGTACCCTGGCTAGAGGGTGATAAATGTGATGAACTTCAACGGGACTTCATCAGCTCACAGCCACTGAAGCTGCGGTTGGTCACATTTGGAAGCAAATTGCATGAAAATGGTCGCAATTAATGTAAATGGAAGTGATGTTTTTACAGCAGGCCAGGGCTTTAGCTGTCACATTAATGGAACATTATGGAGAAATTGCTCTGGGCTACTTCAGAAATGAGCCTGGGGCACTCATGCTGCGTGGCAGATGCCGGCCCTGTAGGTCCTGCCGGGTGAGCAGCCTCTAACAGCAGAATTCTCACCACCAGAGGTAACAGTGCTGCGCAAAGCACTGAGATCTGTGCTGAGACAGACCAGCACTGCTCAGGGCTGGCTGGCACCGGCTGTCCCAGGAATGCACTGTATCACTGGGGTAATTCCTCTTGCTGCCTGCACATCCTCTGTTCTCCTCGCTGTCCCACCTGAAGGTTTTCAGGCAGCCTCTCCTCACCGCTACCTCATTCCCACATGCAGAATCTCTTTCCCTGAATAGGAATGCAAAGGCTCAGGGCCACAAGAGCTTCGGGAGTCACCCCTGGCAGAGACCAGCGTCGTCTCCTGGTGTTTTCCAGGGGTGAAGCTGTGCCAGCAGGCTGGGCTGCAGTCCTGTTGCTGCTCTTGGCACAAGTCGGTGCAGGAACCCTGGTGCTTCCTTGCTCAGCTCCTCCAGGGTAGGGCAGGGCTGTGCTGGGAGCACAGTGGGAGCAGGATGGCTGATGTTCCTTGGGCTGCCATGGCTTTTATCAAAGGAGAGCGCTCAGAAAATCATTACTCCCGTGTTTTTTTTTAACCTGCTGTTGAAGATGCATTGATTCTAGGAAAGTGCTGTTTCCTCCTTGATGTAAATCGTAATGAATAATTCTCGGTAAAGGCAATGGATCATCTCCTCTCCGCCTTTGGTTTATTAAATATGTTCCTATTAAAAGTTATGATCTCATCTGCTTTCACTGTGTGTTAAAACCTGTTCCTACAGCTGTTCACAGAAATAACCCCCAGCTAGCTCATATTTTCCTATGCCTACCTTATCCTATTATTATTCTTATTCTTTTAACAAGAATAAAATAAGACTGTGAAATAGAATGCAAGAATGACACAGTACAGCCGAGATTAAGTGCTGCTCTGCTGAATTTTGCCAATGTTGGTTTCCTGGAGGACACTTTAGAGTTGATTTTCTTGTTCTCTGCCCATGCTGATTACAGGGATGAAACGTTTCTGCAAATGCTGCTGTGGTTTCTTCTTCCCTGTTGTGTTCTAATTGGGATGCATGCAAGCAGTCCCTCCTGCTTCTGCTTATCCCACCTGCAAACCCTCTAAAGCAGTGACCCTACTTTTTTTCAGTTCTTCTCCCAGTCCTGCTTGGCCAAGAGTTGCTGGTCCAGGGAATGAGCAGGGAGAGAATGGGGCCAAGAATCTTACTGCAGAAGGAATAAAGCCAAAGCCGCAATGGAGGCTGTGTGCAGGGAGCAGAGAATCCCCCAACCCCTAAAGCCTGCTGCAGCAGGAGGACGTGGTCCAGGAGCACCCAAACATTGATACAAACCTGCTGATTGAAGCTCTGTGGGGCGGGATGGGAACTCAGGAGAAGCACAGGTTGTTGGTGAGATGTGCCTGGAGCGAACACATTGTGCTGGCTTCCTGTACTGCGCAACAGCAGTGGCTTTCTGGAGTGTGTGGCTGGATGGATGTCTTCCCATGAGACCTTTCCCCCTTTGCCATCTGGAAGCATCCTGATTTACTCTGCCTGGAAAAGAGAAACAGCTCCGAGCAGCTCCACTTGCTGGGGCCTTTTGGGGAACTGATGAAGTTCAGCATCCGAAGTTCATCATCCATTCTGTACCTTCATACCCCTTGTTCTCATCTACTTTCCTTCCATGCTGCTCAGGTCCTTCCTCCCAGCCAGAGCTGTGTGTGAAGATCTGGGTGCAGCTCAGCCTGACTCACTGGGAGGCTGCTGGATGCACTTTCTGCTATGTCCTAGATCCAGCACCGAGTTCTTGGATAAGTGTGAAAATCCCAGGCAAACGGGATTTAAAAGTGGCCCAGGCTATCAGATCTGAGCTCACCACTCCAGAATATCTCATCCAAATACTTCATGTTTTCAAAGAAGCACCCTGCTGTCCAAATAACAGCAACACTTGGCCAGTCAAAACAGCCATCTGGGAAATGAGGCATGTTTATGGAGTTTAGAAGCAAACAATAAAAAAGCACACAGCCTTTGTGCTTTAGTGGGAACTCCAGGTTAACAAGGGACAGGGACTGAGCACAGCGAGGTGCTGGGGCACAGAGGGAGGCAGTAGGAAGGGGTGATGAATGCATCCCTGTGCACTGAGCTCATGAGCTGTCTGTTGTCAGGTTTACTGTTAGTGTGCTGAGTGCTGCGGATGTGCTCACCTCTGGGTGCACAGGCTATCACTAAGAACAGAGCCTTCTGCCATCCCAGAGGATCAGCTGGGAATGTTAATGCTTCTGGCAGCTGTTTCTCAATGTGACACGAGGAGCCCAGCACTCCCAAACAAACCAACACCCCAAATCCCCATGGAACAGTGCATACTGCATCTGCCTGTTTAGGTACAGTGCCAGGGGATGGGAATGGTTTTCTGCCTCGAGATGCTGCCATATCTCCAAGTCTTGTGGGCCCAACCGTGCCTATAGCTGTGGTCCTGATCCTGCTGCTCTGCAGGCACCACAGCTCCAAGAACTGCTTGGATCTTGATTACAGTTAAACATCAGCCTTACCTGTGCTATTAACGGGGTCTTTCCAGGAACTGGGCTGGTTGCCTTCCCATCTGCAAAACACTGCAGAGACAAGTCCATCCCTGGAGCCAGGAGGGACCAATGGCCAAACTGCCAGCCACAGCTATGCAGGTCACAGGTTGGGCTGGAGCAGTGTGAGATTCCCTGTCCCAAGAGGTTGCATCACACTTGAATCACCCAAGCGAGACAAAGATGTCATCATCACCCCTCTGCTGCTCTGTGTAAAGCGAGGTGTGAGAAGAGTGAGTCACTGCCTTATGCTTGCAGGGGAAATCAATGATGAAAGCAGGAATCCAGCTCTGGCCTGCAGCCAGGGGTGGTGTTTCAGAGCAGCAGACTTCCTACACTTGGCACTTGGCTCAGCACCCACATGACTTGCATGCCATGGCAGCATTTTGGAGAAGGCCAGAATAGGCAGAAGAGGAAGAAAAGCCACAGAACTTAAGAAAACTGCAACGGGTGATAAATGAATGAAAACATTCCCATTTCCATCAATGGAATTATCCACAGTTTACACAAGATAAATCAGATTTAAGAGCTGTGCCCCTATTTGTACCAGGTGAATGGCCTTGCACATCAGCATGTGAGGCAAGTTGTATTCACACCCCTATCCAACCACAACAAAGAGGAAAATTATTTATGAGGGCTATTAACATAATTGATTAACTGAGGAACAGTTGCCACCATACAGAAACAACACACACGTGTGTGATTAGCATCTTGCAGCTGAGCTCAGCAAGTATTTGTGTGCCAGTTGTGAGGTATTCAGACACCTCTGGCTCGTGTTAATGTGATTGATGGAGTGTCTGAGCTGGCACGTAGAGTCAAACAAAACAGTATGTTGGGTGGTTTTTAATCTCAGCAAAATTAGGAAGATCTTGTGGCTGATGAGGCAAGATGTCTACATCCTCATGACTAGCCCTTTCTGCTTGCAAAATGGTATTACTGTAAAAGAGGGAAAAGAGCACAAGATACCAGCGTGGTGAACAAGGGATGGACTGGAAATAGCTGCTAGGACACATAAATCTGCCTCAAGTTCCTCTCCAGCATGGAGGAATGAGGCTGGGTGTCCCTACTGAGCTCAGCACTGAATTTGGACAATTTAGAGCACAAAAATTGAGTGGGAGAGAAATTGAGAGCTACAGGACTCCTGCTGCAGGGCTGGCTCAGGGATGGCATAAATTAATTAAGAGACTGAACATAATTTTTCCAAGAATCACAGAATCTTTAAGGTTGGAAAGGACCTCTAGGGTCATCAAGTCCCACCATCCATCTACCACCAATGCTGCCCACTGGCCACGTCCTCAGTGCCACATCGCCACGGTTCTGGAACACCCCAAGGAAGGTTGACTGCACCACCTCCCTGGGCAGCTGTGCCACTCATCACCACTCTTTTGGAGAAGTTTTCCTAATATCCAGCATGAACTTCCCCTGGTACAGCCTGAGGCCATCACTCAGAAGAAGTGGCTGTTGGGCAGCAGTGGGAAGCCAGAGGTAAATAATTTTTTGCTTACATCTTCAAAACTGCATCTGAGCCCTTCTGCAGCCCTTAGAGGACAGCCAGGAAAGTAAAGCATCTTTAGAAGAACAACCATGTGAGCAAACAGCCTGAGCTGCACAGAGCTGCCCTGCGGAGCCCAAGCAGTGCAAGTGCCCTCTGAGCAGAGCACCTGGATGGTGATGGAGACACAGCCACGCCATGCCACGGAGCCAAAACGAGAGCAAAGAAACAAGAACCGGTGACAACAAGTGACTAATTAGCCCAGGAGGATGTTGCCTGAGTAAGCAGTCAGTCATTTCAGGATTCAGAGCGCCAAAGAGCCCTCTCTCATGCGGTTATGTTGAAGGTCACACTGCTGTGATGTGCTGGGAATCAGGCCCAAGGCAAGAGCCCAACCTCAGATCCGCCGTCGCACAGGGCTTGTTGAATTTCCCCTCTACCCATTTGGTTATTTCCTGATTCAGCTTTGCCCCATGTACCTATTCTCTCTGAACTTGCAACCGGAGAAGCGATGGGAAATTCTACCGGGACCGCAAAGGTACAAATGATAATTCAACTCATTGTTGTTTGCTTTTTTTGTTTCTCAAAATAAAGCTGAATGCACGTATCTGAGCCAATGGAAACATGAGGTGGAATTTTTTTTTTTTTGTTGGTTAATGTTTCCAGGCGTTTTCTGAAATGATTTAATAGGTGCCGCTGAGATCATTTGCGGTAATCGGGCAAGAGGTGTCAGCCTTCGAAATTCTCCTGATGTCCTTACACTGTTTTCTTTCTATGCAGTAATGAAGCATGCCAGCAGTGACACTGCAGTGCTGCTTCTGGAGCCCTGCCTGCGGCCATGCCATTGGGGGTGGTGCATCGTCAGTACGGTGTTGGTGCCATGGGAGGATGGAGCTTCTGGCCTCGCAGGTAAAGGCTCTTCCCATAGGCTGGACACTGGGTCATAGAAAAATGAGGCAGAGCTGCTTTGATTTCGCACGCTTTCCTGGCCGCTGATTGAAATGATTGTTGTTTATTTTAAATCTCCTCAGCTTGGAATTGATCAGAAAATAAGTAGCAGTTGGAGCAATTTCAGCATCTGCATGTTATTCCTGCCTTATCTACTACTTTTTCTACCCCTGACCACACATCCTGTTCCAGGGGAAGCTGCAGCTCCATCCTCACCCTGCCAAGACAGCAGGGCTTACTGGAGGATGTGTTCTATTTATCTAAGGTGTGAAATATAATTACCTCTGCTAGGTACTGTGAGTGATCAATTTGTGTGAAATCTCTGCAACGGGAGCTGAGCCTTATCTCCTTCCACTGTGCTGACAACACAGTCTGCGTAGATAAATCCCCATTTATTTGTTTGAAATGTGCTTGCCATTTAATTGGCTCGGTTGTGGCTCCCGTCACGCAGTGCAGAGCAATAACCAAACACTCAGTCCATGTGTGAGCCTCATTCGCTCTAAGCTTGGAGCAAAAGGTCCAGACCCAAACCAGAAAGCAGGATGTGCTCTACCATGGTGGGAGTGCCCCAGAAGAGCTTCAGAAGGGCTGGTGGAAGTAACACAGCAGGGTTTGCATGTGCACGTTTGAGTGCAGCTCTTATATCTGTAGGGTCACATCCACTGGGGACATGGGGACGGGGAGCAGTTCATGCCATGCTCAAAGTCAAGAGCCATGCCTGAGCTCATGGCAGTACCCAAACAACTCCAAAATGCTTGGCTCCCTCTACACTATCTGCAAGAGAATTCCAAAGAATATTCCTACAACTGAAGGTGTTGAACCTCTAATTGCAAAACGGAGAAATACACAATTTTGAAGTACTTTTAGGTCACTTACTGAGAGCTAATCAGATCACGCTTGGTGGGGGTAGACTGACTGGTTGGCTCAAACTCACAGATCCAACATCACAGCTCATTCTGCGTCTTGCAGAGCCTCTTGCAGCACCTGGTGATGTGTTATAGCACATCGTGACAATGGGTTGATGGTTGGGCTATATGATCTTAGTAGTCTTTTCCAACTTAAATGATTGTATGATTCTATGCTACATGGGACTTCCAATAGAAATGAATGCTCCCCAAGCATATGGAAGCAAAATAAAGCCTTAATTTTGCAAAATACAGAGAAGGCCATAAAGCAAGGTGGCTTGAAGTCACTTAGGGGTGCATACATCTCCTACTGAACACAAAGTCGGGACTTTAGCAGAGCGTGGTTGCACCTGAGCTCACCCACAGCCTTTCAGTGCACATTGCTGGGACCGTGGAGGAAGAGCAGATGGGACACATTCTGGGACATGGACACTTTTTGTGAGAGGCAGTGCTGGGCTGGATGCTCATCCCTGGCTTCCCTTTCCTTGTCCTGGTGCTGGAAGTGGTGCTACAAAGACCCATCCCACTCTCACCCCAATGTGCACTGAAACAGACGTGGTTGCAGCAGCGATGAGCCTGGCATAACATTTTCATTTATTTTTAGCTTGAGTGGAAGCAGAAAGCAATAGAAATTTTGTCACTGAGCAATTTCTGACCCAATTTTGCAAACTGGAGAATGTTCTGCTGCTCAGGTAAGCACGCAGGGTTCCCCAAATATTGCACCTCTCCTTGGTTCCCCATCACCTTTGTACAACTGCAGCTGCAGACGGCAGAAAGGAAGGGCTGAGGTGGCTGTTGGGGATGTGGTGGCTGGCACAGAGGTCATAGAGTCAACCCTGTGTCCCTCTGTCCCTTGGCTGCATCCCCAATTGAGTTCATTGCCCTCAGTTCAGGGTATGCCCAGAGCAGCAGCTGCCTAATGCCAGCTGTAATAACTTCCAGGCTGATGGCATTGAGCCTGTGATGAGTGTGCAGCCACAGCTTGACAGTAAAGCTGACAGACTGAGAAATAATTCTCCTCGTTATGTCAGAGCCAGGAAACTCTTGCAATTAGAGGAATATCCTTTCCATTACAAGACACTCGCCATTCACTTAACGCAGCTCCCTCTTGAGTGGCCACACCCTGCTTTGCAAGCACTCATTAAGGATGGTTTAATTTTGGAGCTGGAGGCAGTGAGATGTCAGCTGGGTTTTAGGATGCTGCTTTAGGCTGCAGCAGGGCTGCTTGGATCTTTGGTGTTGTGCAATAATTCTACCATTGACTGCCTCTTTTGCTGGGATGATGCTGGTGGTACCAGTGCAAAGGATGCCAAGAGAAAGGTCCACCCTATGTTTGCACTGACTGGGATGTACTTCTGAGGAAAGACAACTCTTTGTTTCCATTTACTGGGTGCTCTGCATCTGCAGAGCGTACAGAATGTCTTCCAGTTTCCTTCTGAAGGAGAGACAACCTCTTTAAGTAGTGACATGGACTACCTCTTGCTTTGCTAACTCAAGCAGTTGAACAAGATTGTGGAAGGAAGGTTTGCTAGCATCTTCCCTTGAAATTCACATTCCTGCACAGAATAATATGCAGGACATTTCTCAGTCTGCTTTTGGTGCTCAGAAAGCCCATGCAGTGAACTGGAGCTGCCGTCACGCACAACCTGTGCCTTCCTGATTGTCACCAGTTCCTTGGTACAAGCCCTGAAATTCCTGCAGTGCAGCTACGTGCAAATTGGAAATACTTCACAAGCAGGAGCACAAGGCACAAGTCTCTCATCTATCTTAATGTAGCTTTTTTACATGCTTTCAATCATTTATCCAGGGAGCAGAAACACCATCCACTCCCCACAGACAGCAAGTGGGAATGGGAATGGTCTGGGTGAGCTATAGAGACTGGTAGGTAACTTATTCTTAGATGAAATTTAAACTCGATTCTCAGCACTTTGCCCACCTGCTGTGAATGGAACCTGCAGGATGCACGCGCATCAGTGGAAGCGTGGAGTGCAGAATTGGTGCTGTTCCACGCTTGCTTTGCACAGATGCATCTCTTCCAAAAGCCATGCAGTGCTGCAAAACCCACGTCAGCTCTTGGCAGCTGCAAGCTGAGACAGCCCTGCTTCCATAAAGCCCTCTAGAAAAACCATAAAAGTACCACGGTTACGTTAGCTTACTGTTTCCCCTGGTGCTGTGCAGAGTGAAGGTCTCCAGGCCTGGATCTCCTCCTGCAACCACCCCTCCAGCATCAGCTGTCCTTTCTGCAGCTATTCCTCAGCACAGAGCCACCTTTTTGCAGCCTTGTCCCAGCCCGTCCTGCACTGGGTGAGCGTGGTGGCAGCAGGAAGCCCCAAGCTCTGCACAGCTGCTTCTCGCTCTGTGGAGGTTTCACACTGCAGCAGCTGAGCACCAGCTCCCAAAGGCACAGCATGGGGTGGGGTGGGGGGGGTTCAGTTAACGGCTTGTTTGTGCTCCCCAGCCACAAGAACAAGCGTGGGTGCTGCTTTTTCACTTCTAAGCTCAGTGGCTGCATTTGTTGGGTTGGACAAGCAAGGCAGGTTTCCTCAGGGTCTCAGCATCCCAGGCTTTCAGTGCATCCCAAGGTCTGGCTTTCTCTTGCTATTTTATTGTCTGATAGGGAAGGTGGGTTTTCTTCATGGAATCATCAAGGTTGGAAAAGATCTCTCAGATCGCCAAGCCCAACCATCAACCCATCCTCACCATGCCCCCTGACCCTGTCCCTTGGTGCCACATCTCCATGGTTCTGGAACACCTCCAGGGATGGTGACTGCACCTCTCCCTGGGCAGACCTGCTGCAGTGAAGGACCACTCTTTCTGAGAAATATTTTTTCTTAATGTCCAATCTGAACCTCTCCTGGTGCAATGTGAGGCCATCGCTTCTTGTCCTATCGCTGTTACCTGGGAGCAGAGGCCAACCCCACCTCACCACAGCCTCCTTTCAGGAGCTGTAGAGAGCACTGTGATCTCCCCTGAGCTCCCCTTCCCCACGCTGACCCATCCCAGCTCCCTCAGTCATTCCCCATCACACTTGTGCTCCAGACCCCTCACAGCTCCATGCCCATTTCTGGACATGCTCCAGGGCCTCCATGTCCTTCTTGTAGTGAGGGGTCCAACACTTCTTCCACCAGAAACTTTTTTTATGGTCACTACTCAGCAAATAATGGGTCATTGTAAAAATATAAGACTTCTTAGAGACAGCTTGTACAGGTGTCTGCCTACTCTGCTGTCATGCTGAACACCTAATTTTACAGCTTGGACTTCCTAGATCACTGCTGATCACAACAAAGCAATCTTAATCATCAGCGTCAAAAATTTACTCTTGTGCAAGTGAATGGCAGCCAGCTGAGGTCATATAGCATGCTATTACACATTCATACTATAAATAAATCAAAAATTCAAAGCCAAGCACCGGAAGGGCAATGCAGGCAAACACTGCTCAGTTTCCCAGTTCTTGGCAGTGGGTGATGGGGGTTCCCTTGGCTCAGGGTTTTGCCCTGCACAGGAGAGAACCCAGCTCAGCTGGTGCCCCATTGTGAGCACAGCCTTCTGGAAGCCATCCAGGCATGTTTCACCTGAACTCCTTCCACATGTCTGCACATCTCTCCAGCGTGGATGGGATGGGCTCCTGCTTTTGCTGGCACCTGATGAATGACCCAAAATGTTTTCATGAATGAACCTAAATGTATGCAGTTCACCTCTCCCATTCCCAGCCATCCTTTGTGCTTCACGCTGGAGGAAATGTGAACCGGTTTGGTGACTGTCTGCTCTGAGGCATCCTGGAGGTAAGAATCAGGCTTTGGTTCTGCAGGAGGCTGCAAAGGCTGGAGGGCTCCTGTCGCTTCCTTTACTTTGGCAACTTGTGGGAAGATTGGCAGTGGTTTGGGAGAAATGTGGAGGGACTTTCAGGGCTGGCATGGCTCTGATCTAAATAACTTTGCCGTTCACAAGCCAGGAGCAAGCACCAGTGCAAAACAGTGCGGGAAATAACAGTCCTGTGTAGCTAGAACTGTGGAGTCATAGAATGGCTAGGGTTGGAAGAGACCTCAGAGATCATCCATTTCTAATCACTGTGCCATGGGCAGGGTTGCTGGATCATGCTTCTTGGGGTCCCATCCAACCCAGCCTCAAGAGATGGGGCGGCCACAACTTCCCTGGGCAACAGGTACTATGGTGAATCTGAGTCCAGATTAATTCGACAGGGGAGAGGATGGAAGTGGGAGAGGTTCTCTTTGGTGAGGAGCATCTCCCTGCCCTTTGGGACTTGCCTGTCCTGTATGGAACACCCAATGTGGAGTTTCTCAGGATGTCCCTCTTCATTTGCCCCTGCTGAAGGTTCAGTTGTTCTCAGTGGGTTTGTTCACCAGCCCTTCCAGCCCCTCTGAAGGAAGCCCTGATCCAGCCATGTCAGCGCTGACATTTCCAGCAGTGACAATCCACTCCCCCTCCTGCTTTGATCCAGCGCTTTGCTTGCTTGGGATTCATTACTTTAAACGAGGTTTAATTTAATTTGCTTTAAGCACAAGCAGCATAAGGCTGATTAAATCTGATCACAGAGCACCACGCCAGCAGCTGTGGCCACTTAATTCTATCAGCCAGAGCCTTGCACCCTGCTCCCAGCCCGTGCAGAATCTCACCTCCATCTGCACTTCCACAGCTGCTGAAAGCACACACCAAGGGACAGCCTGAGGACTTGTGCCCCTCCTGCTCCATTATCAGCTCTGAAAGGGCTCTTAGCAATTCCTGCTCTCCTCATTTCCACAGCATTCTCTTTTGCTCAGGGAATGCGTAGTAGAGCGATGGAGAATAAATGGAATGGTGATGTCCTGGCATGGAGACTTCTGTCAGCTGCTTAAAGTTGTTTGCATTGGCAGTTATTTCACTTGAAGCATTTTGCAATTTTTACAAAGCTCAGGATTACAATTATTTTGCCTGGCTGATGGTAACACTCAGCACTAATTAGAACCGTCCAAGCCAGTGTACTCAGTGCTTCTTGAAATTTCATATTTAGGTCAAAAAAACGATCAATCAAATTCTGCATTTCTTTTCTTTTGAAGCCAAAGTGTTCCCATTCAACACCTCTCAGTACAACATGTACCAAAGTTGTGTTTAAAAATGAGGCTGCAGCGTTAAATTCAGATACTTTTTGATTTAAAAAAAAAAGACAGAAAGATGAATTCCCATGAAAACATGCAGTCAAACCTCTTCCCGCTCCTGCAGCCTCTCCCAGTTTCTATTCTGTGTTTAGAAAAATGAAATGCTTAAAATGACCCAGGGCTGCCTCCAGGGTAGGTCATCTCCAAGGCTAGCTCGCCCTTGCTGAGGGCCTTCAGAAAGTTTGGTCTTCATGAACATTCTGTGAGTGTTGGTGAATAACAACAGGAGGAATTCAATTCCACCCCTTTGCTTCATAAGCGCTCCCATGTCAGGCACCGTTATGACAGAGTGCCTCTCTGCTGCCATCTGACACTCTGCAACAAAATGGAATGGAATAACATCTGCATCTGACATCGTGGGCCAACATGATAAAACAGGAGGCATTTCTGAAGAAGTTTTGCAGATGTTGGTGGTCCCAAATGTTCCCCCAGGAAATGCTGCCCTCCCCGAGCACTCGGTACCAGCGTGTCCCTGTCCCCACACCAGGCTGTTTGTTATTGCCCAGCATCTCTTCCTCGTTCCACCCTGACCCTGTTACTCTCCGGCACGTCCCACAAAGCTGCAGTGAAGAAGCGTTCCAGGGACGGGCTTTGACTCAGTATTAGTTGGCAAAACTCCCAGGGACAACAGCAAAACGTGCCCACGAGGAAACTTAGCAGGGGAATCACACCATAAGATCAATGGCTTGACGTGCCAAAGAGCTGAAGTCACCTCCCTTGTTGGCTCTCGATCTGCATGCAATGAGGAATGAACCAAGACCGCAGAACTTGGCTTTACCTGCTGTCTGTCCCAAGGGACAGGAAGCCAGCACTGTGCCATGTGCTGTGGGGCTGGGCTGGCAGACCTTGGGGCTGAGCTCTTTCTGGGCTGGTGGGCACAATGGGGTTGATGGCTGGACGTCATCATCTCAGTGGTCTTTCCCAGCCTTAACGGTTCCATGATTCTACGTTTCTATGAGAGGCTCAGTGCCTGCAGGCCCGTTACTGAGTGCACAGAAAAGACAATTTTCAAGCTGTACGGATGCTCTGCATTAACTCCATCCTTTTTCAGGTGCCTGATGAGAGGCTGATTCCCTGAGGACTCCCCCACTAAATGAGAGTGCCTCCTTAGACTGAATGAATACAAGTCTATGGGGCCGGATGGTGTGCATCCCAGGGTCCTGAAGGAGCTGGCTGAGGTGGTTGCCGAGCCGCTCTCCATCATATTTGAGAAGTCGTGGCTGTCAGGTGAGGTCCTGAACAACTGGAGGAAGGGTCATATCACTCCCATATACAAGAAGGGGAGCAGGGAGGACCCGGGGAACTACAGGCCGGTGAGTCTCACCTCCGTGCCTGGGAAGATCATGGAACAGATCCTCCTGGACAACATGCTCGGTCACATAAAGAATGAGCATGTGATCCGAGACAGCCAGCACGGCTTCACCAAAGGAAGGTCATGCCTAACTAATCTTGTGGCCTTCTATGATGGAGTGACGGCATTGGTGGACGAAGGGAAGGCGACCGATGTCATTTACCTGTACCTGAGCAAGGCCTTTGACATGGTCCCCCACCACATCCTCATCTCCAAATTGGAGGGAAGTGGATTTGATGGGTGGACGACCCGATGGATAAGCAATTGGTTGAAAGGCCGCAGACAGAGGGTGGTGGTCAATGGCTCTATGTCCAGGTGGAGGCCGGTAACAAGTGGTGTCCCCCAAGGGTCTGTCTTGGGACCGGTGCTCTTTAACATCTTTATTAATGACATCGATGAGGGAATTGAGTGCACCCTCAGCAAGTTTGCTGACGACACCAAGCTGAGTGGTGCGGTTGATACGGTGGAAGGAAGGGATGCCATTCAGAGGGACCTCGACAGGCTGGAGGGCTGGGCTCAGGTGAACCTGATGAGGTTCAACACGGCAAAGTGCAAGGTTTTGCATTTGGGCCGGAAGAACCCCAGGCACCTGTACAGGCTGGGAGGAGCGGTCCTTGAGAGCAGCTCGGCAGAGAAGGACCTGGGGGTCCTGATGGACGAGAGACTGAATATGAGCCAGCAGTGCGCTCTGGCAGCTCGAAAGGCAAATGGGATCCTGGGCTCCATCAGGAGAGGGGTGGCCAGCAGGGACAGGGAGGTGATTGTCCCTCTCTACTCAGCTCTTGTGAGGCCCCATCTGGAGTACTGTGTCCAGGTGTGGAGCCCTCAGTACAAGAAAGACATTGAGATTTTGGAAAGGGTCCAGAGGAGGGCAACTAAGATGATCAGGGGGCTGGAGCACCTCCCCTATGAGGACAGGCTGAGGGAGTTGGGCTTGTTCAGCCTGGAGAAGAGAAGGCTGCGGGGCGACCTCATTGCAGCCTATCAATACCTGAAGGGAACCTACACCCAGGAGGGGAGTAAACTCTTCAAAAGGGCTGATAACAGCAGGACTAGGGGAAATGGTTTTAAGTTGAAGGAGGGAAGATTTAGGTTGGATGTTAGGGGGAAGTTCTTTACTAGGAGAGTGGTTAGGCCCTGGAACGGGCTGCCCAGGGAGGTTGTGGATGCCCCGTCCTTGGACGTGTTTAAGGCCAGGTTGGACGGGGTCCTGGGCAACCTGATCTGAATGTGCATGTTTGGTGGCCCTGCTAGGCAGGGGGGTTGGAACTACATGATCCTTGGGGTCCCTTCCAACCCAGGTGATTCTGTGATTCTGTGATTCTGTGATTCTGTGAAATGTTTTTCTCTGTTTCCTCCCCCCTCCCTCTCTTATTTCTTTCCCCTCTCTCTGCAGACCCACACATGTAGTATCTTCCCCCCTGCGTTCTTTCTTGATCTCCCCATTCCCAGCTGCACCAGTTCTTCAATAAGTCTGGCAGACCGATTTTTATTGATATTAATGGCTCTGGGTTCCTTTTATTTCAGTGCTGGATATTTGCTTTTACCAACAAAATTTATCTCCATCAGAAACATTGACAGATCAGGGCATTTATCCAGGCATCTCTTACAATTGCTTTTTCCTTTTTGTTCAGTGGCAACCAGTAGGTTTATTGCTCAGAAGGAACAGTAATGGAATCAATGCCCCGGTTATATTTTCATTTTTTATTATTAAAATCTTTTTGGAAGTAATGTATGAGCTGAGATGAGCATTGGGAGCAGAAGAAGGAGCTGCAGCTGCCCTCTGCAGCCTCTTGACTTAATCAATACAGTACAATTTCATTCCCAAGAAACAACAACAGCATTTACTTCTTTCCCCTTCCTTTCCAAGGAAGGCATCTGCAGTACAATGAGTGCTGACTATGAGGAACAACGTGGGCACATCAGTTAAAAACAAGATGTGGGTGACTGTATCCCCTGGATATTATCAGGCAAGTGCCCAAACCCAAGAGGATTTTATAGAACACTGAAGCACAGAATGATTTGGTTGAAAGGGACCTCAGTGTTTATTATGTGCCAACTTCTCTGCCATGGCAGGGCTGCAAATCAGGCATCAGTTCAGGCTGCCCAGCGCCCCATCCAACCTGGCCTTGGGCACCTCCAGGGATGGAGCACCCACGGCTTCTATGAGCAGCCTTCACCAGAGCCTATTCCAGATGTGCATTGCTGCTCCTTATGAAATATGTTTTACGATATCTCTCCACCCAAGCAGAAGGGGCTTCTTGGAGGCTGGGTCTGAGGAAGGTCTGTTTATCCCTTGGGATGCCCCCAGTGCTGCAGGGAAGAATCACCCACGGGGTGTGAGGGGTAGAGAGGGCATTGAGCAACGCTCCTAGCATCAAACGTCTCCTGTTTCAGCTGGGAAGCCACTGCCTTGCAGTGCCAGTCCTGTGGTTAGGCTGCATCTACATTTGCTCTGCCTTTTCCGGGCAGTTTCCTCTTGCCAACACTGCCTCTAAATTCAGGCCAGAACTACTGTATCACACAGCCTGTCCCACAGGGCTGAGGAAGTCATTTCACATGTGTCAGGGTGACTCAATCTTGTTTCTATTTGCAGAGCATCCAGCTCCATCAGCTTTTTCTTGGCTCTAGAGCAGACGGACAACCACACTGCACCTCCTGCCACACCTCCTCCAACTTACCCACCCCATCCCTTTGTTGTCAGCAGCAGAAGGGGCATCACATTTCCAACATCTCAGCACAGATTGAACCAATCCAGCAAAGCCAAGAATGCTTCTGGCCCAGCCATCTCCTTCAGACACCCAACTGCCAAGGACAATGAGGATTTTGCCTTTGCCTTTCCCCCCTTTCTCTGCATTCTCTCTCTACACAGCCCCATCCCTGTGCTGCAGTTTCATTCCCCTTTCTGTGCTGACTGCCTGCTGGATGTGCTCGGGAAGTGAGCTGTTCTGCTTCTGAGGTTTTGCACCTCTGGCTTCTGCTTCTTGCATCCCTTGCAGTTATTTCCCTTCCCTTCCTGCAGGGTGGGACAAGGTATGAAGTGCTGTGGCATCAGCCACAATCATGGCCAGCATCAGAGGTGTCCCAGCCTTGTCCACAAACCATTCCCAGCTCTGGGCTGTGAGAGTTTGCATCCGATTTCCCTCAGCACCTTTTATACCAGAACCAGCATGTTTTTCCTCTCCTTAGTCACTCTGCAGCATGTGATGTGGCACAGAAGGACACGATCAATGGGCACGGTGGTGATGGACTGGGGTTGGATTTGGTGATCTTAGAGGTCTTTTCCAACCTTTATGTTTCTATGATTCTATGATTCTGCGTGCTGCCCTTTAGAATCTTGACCTCTTCTTTTGCTTTTATGAGGACTTTGATCTGACTTCTCTTTGGCACCAGAAAGGCAGAAAGCAACAAACTCGTACGTATTTTACATGCTGCTTTTGCTTGCTGCATTCTCATCTCCTGGAAGATGTTGCAATTGGGTTCAGCTAAGCAGAGGATATTGTTTCCAACGGTTGAGACTTAACACTCTTCAGTTTCCTTGAAACTTTCCAAGCAAATGTGGCCAAATGGTCAGCCAGTCAGTGCTCTGGAGGGCTTAGAGAAGTGGAAATTTCAGCGATGCTGTTGACATCTCCAGCAGAGCTATGTAAACATGGCAGAGCAGAGCTTCATTGGCTGTTTCCAAGCCAAGGCAAGGTGATGTCTCTGCTCTGGGAATTAATCACAGCAAAGACCAGGGACCTTTTTGGGTTCTCATTTCCATCCGCCTTGGGAACAAGGAGTCAGCCACCTGCAGCACCCACATCAGCACCCCCTTCTCTCTCCCCAGGGCATTCTGTGGGCTGGATACCTCTTTGGGAACCCCGTGCAGAGACAGAATGGAGTGTGGCCAGCATTGCAACCTCTGGCACGTCTCTTTCCAGACAGCACATCCTGAGCACAAACCCTGACTGCCCAGCTGCAGGCAGACATCACAGTCTGGCTTCCTCCTTCAGCTGGGGGTAAAGGTTAAGAAGCAGATGGGTTGTTTTGTAATCTTGTTACAGTAATGACTCCATTACATAAACGATCACTTGCTACTTCTTTTCCAGCCATTCTTCAAAGAAACTGCATCCAGATATTCTGCCTGAGACGTTTAATTACTGCAGCTCCTCTTACTTAGAGATGCTGAAAACAGCTGGCTGCCTGTCAGAATCACCCCACCTCAACTCCTAGACCAGCCCACAGCTGGAAGTGACATTCCCATCTCCCAGGACTGTTATTTTCTCCTGACAATCCATGGCAAACACGAGGGCTCTTTGAAAGCTGTACTCGCACGCTCACCTGGTGTGCTCAGGCCATAGGAAGAAGGAAGGGGTAATTTAGAGAGGGGCTGTGGCTCCAGCCCGGTGCCATGCTATCTTTAAGCACTGTGCTTCAGAAGGCACTCATTTTGCATTGTCTCTGTGTTTCCACGTGTCTGATAAGGGAACCTGCTCTCACGTGGCAGCACGTGGAGGCTGGGATGCTGACAAACGCTGTTATGCCTCCATTTCTCCAGGGAAGGAAGAATAAAACAGACAATTTCTGATTTATCAGATTGCTTCAGAGGATTCAATAGTGCACGATGTGAAAATAATCTCAGTGAAAATAATAGCAGGCCTCCTCGTTTTAAATATGCAATTGTCCTTCAGATTTTGAGAAGCTCAAAATACTTGTCCCTGAGTGATCTCCTTACCAGTCATTGCTTCAGACACATCCATCTAGTTCCCAAAAACTCCCTTCTGAAACAGGTCTGCTTTTCCTTACGGGCAAAACCCTGATTTTTTCCCTGTGCTTTCTCCTGCAAGGTCAGCCCTGAGGATTTAAATCACTTCTCAATTTGAAAAGAGCACAGACATTACACCAGCGGGTACGGACGTCACTGGGGCAAGGTAAAGGGCAAGGTAACTTGTATTACAGCACTGTAGGCCATCTTGCCAACACAGGATTCTCAGTTTCCCTTTGCATTTTTCTTTCTTCCCTGGTGCTGTCTCCACAGTCTCATTTCCCTCTGTGTCCCTGTCTGGAAAGTGTTTCTGGGAAGATGAATCTGGCTTCCCATCAGCCTGGAGTCTCCTTCCTTCCTTCCTGCAGCTCCTCTCTGCTGTCCAATAAGGGGATTCCTATCGCAGCTGAGCTCATTTCCAAATGCCTCCCAGATGGAGGACTCCAGGGAAGCACTGTACACCCTTCCACAGATCCACAGAATGGCCCAGATTGGAAGGGACCTCAAGGATCATGAATCTCCAGGGCCACCAACCTCCCCATTTAATACTGGACCAGGTTGCCCAGGGTCCCATCCAACCTGGCCTTGAACACCTCCAGGGATGGGGCACTGACATCTGGTGGCTTTGGCAGAACATTTGGAGAATAATAACTGTGCCCTACTTGGTTTTGTCCTCAGTGCAGGACTGATACAGAAGCGCCACCTTAATGACAAGCACACAGATACAAGACGTGCTCTGTTGCTTGGTGCCCAGAAGCATACAGAGAATAGAAGCCCTATCATAAACCGGAATCCTTTTTTGAATGTTAAAAAAACAATTATTGGTGATATTGCAAACACTAAAAAAACAAAAAACAACCAAAACCAGAAACCTCAGAACATATCAACTTCATTCTGGAAAACTCTTCTCAGATACCCTCACTGTCAAATGGGGCAGAGTCAAGCACTGCTGCAGAGCTCTGCTGGCGTCCTGGAGCCAGGTAGAAAACAGCACCCAGTGCAGGCAGGAACCAGTGAAAGTCCTTCTGAAATCAGATTGCTGAACTGTTGACTATGCTCTAAAAGAAAAGTCTTTACTGCTGCAGAATGGGTTTATTTGGTGCGTTCTGGAGTAGGATGCAGGCAGTTTCCCATGCTAGGTAAAATAATATCTGAGTTGATACAAATTTCTTCCACCCATCTCCATGTTTCAGTGAAGAACTTCAAGGTGCTGCAGGTATAATTAAGAGATGTTTAGAGCCAAAGCCCCAGTGTGGCTAGAAATTTCATTATACAGCCTTCTGTAATTTCATCTGGATGGGATTCAAGCTCATGCATAAGAGCAGTAATGCAAGAGCCAGACCAAGCCAAAGGAAACAAGTTGGTTAATGTGAGAGAACACAAGGGATGAGCAGACACAAATCTGCCGTGAGGAACTTTTGCTTGTACAAGGTGGTTTTTAAAATGATGACCTCCTTGAGTACTGGCACCTGCAAGAGGTTTCTTTATGGCAGGTCTTGATTGAGGTTACGAGCGTGAACAGAACTTGCTCTCAGATCCTTGGATTGCTTTTTGCTGCGCTCTGATCAGCAGTGCTGATAGGAGTGGGGTCGGGCTTCCACTAAATTACAGCCAGATATTTGCACTCTTTGGGCTGTTTGGTCTTTGGGAGTGAGGAGGTCAAAGCCACACGAGCTAGAAATCTGCTCACTTACCAGCTGATGAATGCAGGCTTGAAAAGACCTACCAGGAGAATGACTCAAACGATGTCAAGGGTTCCCTGGTTTTGATGAGACGGGCTAAGTGTCATTGGTTATGCTGTGTCTGAGCTACGATTAATTACATGGAGTGCTCTGTGCAACAGGAAGGGAGAGGCTGTATAGTCTGTTGGCTGCAAATATTGTACTGCTGAATAGGAAATGTTTACTTCTAAGTTTTATTCTCATAGCTTGTCTGGTTCCTTGGTGACATCTGTGAGAAATGAAGGTCTATTTGGTATCCAAGTTTTTTCTCTTTGTGTCATGGAAGGCAAAGGCTCTTTTGGTTGGCTTCCTTAGGCATCACACGGTAACACAGTGCTATGAAGTGTGTTAGAAGGGCTGTTAGAGAGTGGCTTCAGCTTCTCCTCACCAAGAAAACATCTGTGCTTGTTTTCTATGGTCCTAAGGAGGAGATATTGGCTTTTGGGGTTTGTCAAGTTTCCACGTGCTCATTTGCTTTCATTTCCTTCTTCTTTGTTCTAGGACAAAGTTATTTGTGTTTTGCAATATTGCTGATGTAATAAACTTTCCTGCAGCTGATCAAAGCTGTGTGCCCTCACTTATCCATCAGACCTACCTGGCAGGTTTGACACTGCTTTTTCGTGATGGCCATCGGCTTTGGGAAGCATGCATTCTGTCATCATCCGCTTCACTTCTGGTTCAGTGCTTCTTGCCTTTTTGACTTCTTAGGCTGCAAACAAGTCACTAGTCTAGCAAGCAGCCAGTCTAGGGGCTCACCAGCCCTTGTAAATGGGACTTAGAAAAAAAAAAAAAGGGTAACAATAATTTTTTTTATCCTCATACTCTGTAATTACAATATGCTGCTCCATTTTATTGGTGAGATAAGCTAACAATGAGTGTAAATCCAAAATCCCCAGACTTCCCAGGTTTCCCCTAAGGCCCCTCTTCCTACAGCTGCGTTTCCACAGAAACATCTCACTGCAGCAAACCAAGCAAAAAAAAAAAGGCAGACAGGAATAACAAAACAAGGCAAGAGTCCTCTGCAAGCCAAGGGCAGTTGGGTTTGGAAACCAACATGAGCAGAGGGAATTATTTATGGCTGTGTAGAGGCTTCGGTGCATGGAGCAGCTTTGTCTTGCAAGCTTCTACCTCAGGCAGGGAGAAATGAAGGCAGAGTTTGGCTGTGACACCAGGTGCTCCCTGAGGGTCAGAGAGCTGCTCTGTGACTGGAGAGGCACGTGCTGAAGGTCCGAGAGTGCATTAGTGCTGATGTTCAAAGAGTGGGGAAAGGCAGTCTCCATTTTCCAACCTGGGTCAGTAATTTGCTGAGGTTGGACTCAACCCAAACGTCAGCTTGGCACATGTTTTGCTAATGCTTGCCTGATTGTGATCATCAAAAAGTAACCTGTGGTTCCCATCAGTTAATGGAGGTTGCTGTGGTTGGTTGGCACACAGATGCAAAATAAGCAGAAAGAAAAAACCGAGCTGGTTTTGAGACTCTGTTCACCAGGGCATTTTTCCTGCACCTTGTCAAAGGGTTCTCTGTGTTTTGTTTTCCTTTATTCATCTTCTTGATGACCTAAAACACAGTTGGGAAGAAACTACCTTGTAAAATTCAGAGACACTTTTAACGTTGTTGTTGTTGTTTGCTGCTCTATTTCCCATCCTCCGAGCATTTCTCATTCCATTGCTAAGTTCTGTGCTCTCCATTTCAAGCTTCTCCCTCTAACAAACCACATGAGTCATTCTCTGGCTCCTTGTCAGCAGTGTAAGGGTGCGTAGAGCTAACAAATATGTACTCCACAGTGTAATGCTGTTTTCTTCAAGGTTTGCCCATTGTGGCTCAGTAACAAATGGGCGGGGGTGGTACGAAGCACTGACACCCTTGGAGTGCATTAAAGCCATTATCATTCCACATACATTTTCTTTCTCTGTGGCACGTTTAAGTGTTTCTGCTCAGCGGCTCGAAAATGGTTTTTGAAAGAAAGCCATTACGTGGGGTTCAGGACCCAGATTTGAAATTTAGATTGAGTAACACGTGAATAAAACATTTGTAACTGGAGCAATAATCTCGTGGTGCTGCTGGGGTGCTGGATTTGGCATCTATCATGGGAATGTGATGCTTTAGGGCAATGATTCTGGTTTTCAGATAAGGAATTTAAATGAAAAATATCTACAAGAGGAGGCATTTTGAAACACCAGCATTGGGAATGAAGTATTTCTTTAGAAGTTACAGAGGTCTTCCTTTTATTATTATTATTATTATTATTACTTTGAAAGACAAAACTTCCTGGGTGCCTTTAATCAGTGAACTTCAATATTTTCACTTTTCAACATCCTTGAGGATGTTGAAACTGCAAATGTCAGAAATTGCCCTGGGATGGAAGTTCTGGTTTCGAGTGCTGCAGATTTAGGCTTCAGGGCCACAAGTCACCCTGTGTTCCCATCGTGAAACTCGCTCAGAAAATAACTGTAGTCTAGAGGAATGCATCCTGTCCTTCCCTCCTTGATTTAATAGTTCTGTACATCAGAAGGTTACTTGTTTCAAAGCAAAGGGCTTTTACCTGAGGAGTAAAAGCAGAAAGGAGTGTTTGTTTCAGGTTTCTTCCCCCCTGCGTTTTTAGTCAGGCTCAGAAAGGGCAAGGAAACCCTCCTGCACCTACTGCACAAGAAGCCCCCTCAGATTTTCCTTTGGGGAAAGGATGTGGGATCCCAATACTTCACCACCAGCACAGTCAGGTTTCTGGTACCTATGGGTGAACGTGACATTGTCCCAAACCTCTGAAATGTCAGGTTTGAGCTCAAACCACCCCTGGGCAGGTCAGGGAGATTCAGAGGTGACTTCCCCAGAGGAGATGCTGGATTCTGCAGTGTTTGCCAGCACCTCCTGCCAACAGAGATGGGGAAACCAGAGCATGTGATGCTCATGCAGTGCTCAGGGGCTCACAGGTGAGCACAGACCGTGGGTTTTCCAGGGCCCCTTGCATTTTGGTTGGTGGGAAATAGTGGGGTCAGGGCTATACATGTGTTCTGCAATTTGGTCACGGGAGAACAGGTCCTTAATTTTGCTGAAGATAGATAGTGTGGGAAAAGAGGAGTGTTCATGGGGTCCTGGATGAGGATCCCTGCTTACACCAGTGCTCAACGCCTGGGGATGCTGCAGGGAGGCTGTCTGGCTGTCTGTGGCAGCCAAGGTCCCCAGACTGCCATGTCCTTGTTTTTGTGACTTCAGTCAGCACACTCTGTTTATTTAGTGACAATCATTGAGCAAACATCCTCTGGAGGCTTACCTAGAAACACTTAGTCTGTTAAAAAAAAACAACAAAACACTTCAAGAACAAAACTGATAGAGAGAAGCTGGTCAAGGAGAGATCTTATCCAAGAAGCTCTGTGCATGAGCACAGTCAGTTCAGGCTTTTGCAGAGCATCCTCTGTGCTGCGGTGCAGTCAGACCCCAGCAGCCATCCCATCATCAGTCACAATAGCTGGCAGCCTGCTCTGATGTGCTCAGCCTGCTCTGATGGAGCTCTTGCCAAATCCAGACCTTCATCCCAACCTCCCGACCTCCCAGAGGAACAGCATTCACGCCACGTTAGATGCGTGCAGGATTTATGACTGCTGGACATTATTCAGGAGGTTTTTGTTTTCCAACAGATTAGCCAAGGAAAAGATTGTCACTGTGGGAAAAAATTGTTGAATGGCCAATTACAAAGCTTCCCGTAAAATGATTTACTTGGCAAATCCAAAGGAGCTGCATAGAAGTCTGTGTAAGAGCTTGCACACAGCTCCCTGGGGATGGGAGGTGGATGTCCTGCCACAATTCCTCTGCAGTGATTTTTGGGTGGCTTCCTGACTGGTGATTCTCCAGAGTAAGCCCATAAATTGCAGATGCTAATTAGAGGCTCTCACCCTGTACAGGTGGTAATAAGTCCAGGAACAAAGGTGGATGACAGTAAACAAGGACTGGATCAATAACTTTAATTCTGGAGCAGAGACAGCCCATACTAATTCAAAGTGAAGCCCTCTGGACTGGGAATTTAGTGGCTAGAAAATATTGCCTTTGAAAACTCATCTGTTCTCTTTTATGTATTTTTTTAATCTAACGTCATCTTCCTATCAGAGGATGGATGAATTCCTTAGAGACAGATGTGGTCATCCTTAGCTTTGTTATCCCACTGAGGTAGCAACAAGTGGGCATGGGGAGACGTTGCAGGGCAGGAGGAGAGACGCCAACAAGCCAGGATGGATGAGGGCACACCAGTGTGACACTGAGCACCATGCTTCCCAGTCCTGTCCCCACCAAGCCTGCTCATAGGTTCTTGCACCTTTTGCAGCAGAGACGGGGAACTTTAGCATTGCCCTCTCAGTCCCACCCCCTGCCATGGGCTGCCTGCCCCCCACTCAGGCTGCCCAGGGCCCATCCACAGCCTTGGGCACCTCCAGGGATGGCATCCATGGATCTGGGCAGCCATTCTGGGACCTCACCGCAATCTGAGTGAAAAAATTATCTCTAACATCTAATCTAAATCTCCCCTCTTTTAGTCTAGAACCATTCCTCCTTGATTTATCACTGTCTGCCAATGTAAAATTTCACTCTCCCTCTTGCTTATAAGCTCCCTTTAAGTACTAGAAGGCTGCTGTGAGGTCTCCCCAGAGCTTTCTTTTCTTTCCTATGTTGGGGTCCCCAACAGCACAGTGGACAGAAGTGACCACCACTGACTCAGCCTTTGCTGTCCCTGCCTGAACAGTTCCATGGCAACTCTCATTGTCTCCCAACCTGCAGCCCTTGCTCCGGGTGCCAAGGATGAGAAAAGGGGAGAAGTGGGGAACCTGGAGGATCTCTGTGATTCCTTTTTCTTCCCCCCACATAGATTTCCTGTGTGGCTGTAGACGAGTCATTTAGTATCTCCACAGTTCCCCATTTGCAAAAATGGATTTTCCCTACTTCACAGATAAGGAATAATAAAAGGATAAATACACTAATGAGCCTTGGAGGCCTTCTTGGTGTAGGTCAACTGGATCCTGTTAACTCAGTGTCTTATCTAAGTAAAAAAAAAACACAAAACATCCTGATTTTCTGGGAAGATATCAGTTATTCCTATGAAAACAAGTAATACTTTGGATGACTGCATCAGAGCACATGATAGTATTTGTAAGTCATTCTTGATAACTAATTCTGTTTGGTATTTATAGGACACTATAGTTTGGCTGCATTGGAGTTTTCTGCTTCAAGTCTATGAATACATCAGGGAAAGCCTGTAAAGACAGAAGAAGGAGAAAGTAAGTTATGTATAATATATGTACACAATGAATATTCTTGTTGAGAATATTCTTGACAGCTCACTTAAGGGGAGCTGTGGATGGGATCAGGGGATCACTTGTAAAGTCTAACAGCAGGTTTGTCTTCACCCCACCTAAATCCAAACCAGGTCTATGGGAGAGGGATCCCAGACATTTCAGAAGGCTATGGAGAGCACCTGGGCACTCTTTGAGGACTTTGGTTTGTTGACTGCTGTATTTTCCTTAAGAGAAAGAGGCAGTATGAAGAGACAGAGACAGAGAAGGTTGGGTTGAGTTGGGTTGGGTTGGTTGAGTTGGGTTGGGTTGAGTTGGGCTGAGTTGAGTTGGGTTGAGTAGAGGAAGTACTCCCAGGTCCGATGAGCTGAAGGAAAGGCACTGACTTTGATCAAGGTGTTAACGAGGGCCAATTGACCCCATTAGCTCCACCTTGCTCTGCTCCTGTAGCTGTGTGGGAGCGAAAGTGTAGTGGTGAAGGAAGGGGTTGTGAGGTGCTGCGTGCAGGGCAGGAGGGGCTCTGCAGAGGGTAATGTGATGGTGTGTACTGGGGCTCAGGTGTCTGGGTGTGCTGATCACTGAAGGTATAGGGGGAATGTGAGGCATGATGAGTTATCTGGGAAGGTTGCAGTGGGAAGTTGAGGGAGATCAGCTGCTTACGATATTTGTTTATTTATTTGACTATATTTAGCTACTTAGTCAATTCTGTAAAGTACTCCTTTAAGTGCGTGAGTGGAAAGCACTTAAGTATTGCAATAGCTCAGGCTAATGCTTATTTGATGCTTCCTGTTGCATGTGATTGAGTTGAGCCTTTCCTTCTTCAGCCAAAGGCTTTCTCTGCTCCCCATCCATGGGAAGAATTGATAGTGGTGTCTACAGGGTGAGTGAGATGTCATTCTGCTGTCTGAGCCTGCTGGCATGCTTCTGAAATTCCTTCTGTGTGGAAAGTCTGTGCTGTGGAAGAGAGCAGCCTCAATCCTTGGTGCATGGATTCTTCCAGAGAACTGCCGTGGAACTCGCAGAGAACTCTGGGACTGCATGACCTCGAGTGCATAGGGAAAGAAGAGGGAAATACTACCTATTTGCTGAAGAGCCAGGTGGGAAAGACTGAAAAAGGGAAAACGCTAGCAAACCAGCAATATCCTGGCTGATCTTTCTTCTGTTTCCCAGATCAGGGACTAATGGCGTATAAAGACGAGGGAAGGAGGGCAGGATGGAAAGATTTATTTTCTTGGTGGTGTTTCTTATCAGAGCTGTCTGAGGCTGTCATCTCGTCCTGATCTCTCTGACTCAAGAGGGCCCTGGTAGGGAGCTCTCTCATCACTGGAGGATGGTTTCATACGGTGCAGTCTCTGAGTTATCAGCACCCATGCTAATTCCTGTGGCTCCAGAACTGCTCTGGCAGCAAAGAAGGGCCACAGATCAGACCCTGGGAAGGAGACTTCTGAGGAGGTTTCTTTAATGTGACACAGGTTGCTGTATGACAAACAACAGGAAACATGAATGTTGTCACAGATTTGTAATGTTCCAAAGCCTCAGCCAAGACGGAGAGACTGATCTCACACATCCTGTGCCCCAGGTGAGCAGTGCTGCCCCGGCTCAAGGGCCTTCCTCATCCTCAGGTTGAAACTGATACAGCAGGCAGGGAGTGTGAGGAATCTGCCACAGGAGATGGGAAGAACAGAAGGAGCAAACAACTCCCAACTTGTTTACAAAGCTATTATTCCGTTCACAGGCTTCTCAGCTGTGAGTTTATTCCTAAAAGTCATAGGTGTGGAAGCACTTTGTCAAAGCATTGATGCAGCAAATGTGGACGCAGGAGGACAGGAAGGCAATCTAGCAGTGCTGAGTGCAGGTGGAAGCAGCGTGGGCTGCCTGGTTGCACTGAGGACACTCACATATGCTCACAGCACGTGTGCCATCCCTGAGGGTTTTTCAGCAAGAACAGAGCAGGTGCTGCTAGAGCAGGGCAGTCAGCCTTGTCACTTAGGAAATTCACCCTGTGACAGTATGAGACAAGAAAAATCCTTGTGGCAGCTGCGCCAGCAAGCTTCTCTATCCAACATCATTGCTGGAAAAATAGCGTGGTTTTTTTTCCTCAACTACCATTTGAGAACTTTCTGCAAGAATAAACTAAACCTACTTGAAGGAGCTGTGTTGTCATTGCTACATTTGCAGCCTTAAAGCACAATCCCAGCGGTGCCCCACTGAAGCAAGAAAGCAATTCCGCAGAAAACTATGCTTGCCAAAAAAATGATTTGTTCAAAGCACTTGGCTTCGAATAGATGCATAAATGCTTCCCTGAAATTTGGATTGTAATTGAGGAGCAATATGCTCGACAGAACATGCCTAATGAACAGGCATCAAAATTTACGACCGTAGAGGGGTAGCAGTAATGGGTTATGCAGGAGATCAGTCCTACATTTCTAGTCAAAGTGAGAACTGCCAGCAGCCTGTGGTAAAGAAGAAGTCTTTTCTCAATCTCACCTCCTCTTTTAACATCCTTCATCAAAGAAGCATACAGGCATGACCTCCAAATGTAAACTAATGAGATGTCAGCACACGTACAGTGGTGGTAGCAGAGCAGAACTGTGTAGTTTCAGTGGACCTAGAGGTTTGTACAAACACGGGAGTTTTCCAAATGCTGTAATGCCTTTTCTACCTACTCGCCGGATAATTCTGTAGCAAAGAGGAACAGTCCCACCACTACAGCAAAAAGTTGTTTCATATCTCCTTGTTTTTGTACTAGAGATTCCCCTGATTTACATGAAGAAAAGGAAGTGGGGTATCTGCAAGAAGTGAAGTCATCTTGCTAGAGGGTTAGGGCTGGAGCAGCCCTTGCCATATCTTTCAAAGGATACCATTTTTCATGCTTTGTTTTTAGGAACTGTCAAGAGAAAGGAAGCGTAGTGAGCAAAGAGCTATTTTGAGTGATAGTCATGCTCTGGCAGTGGCTTGCATGGTTACATCTTAATAGATCTCTTCCACTTTGGTCTCTACATGCACAGCTGTGCCTCTGTATCCTGCCTACGGAGACCAGCTTGAAGCTTGGGGATTTCTGTATGTGAGCTGTAAATACATTCATATCGTCACGTAACAGTTGCACCTACTATAGAATCATTCAGCTTGGAAAGACCACTAAGGTCATCCAGTCCAACCATCAACTCATGCCTACGATTGCTGTAGACTGTGTCACCCAGTGTGGTATCTCCCATTTTAACACCTCCAGGTATGGTAACTCCACCGCCTTCTGAGCAGCTGTGCCAGTATCTCACCAGAGATCCCATCCAAACCCTGCAATTCTGTGATTCTGTGATCTGGGGAATCACGTGTGAAAAATACAGCACACGAAACAACGCTGCCATGGGTGAACAAACTCCTGCTCTTCACAGTTGTAAACGTCAGCTGTTGGTGGATGCTCATGAAAGTACAGAACGAGTCAGGAATGAAGGTGAAGCAAACAAAGGGCTTTTATCTATTTATTTATTTTGCTTTAAGATCCAAAGTGATTTTAAAAACAAGCTATTGATAAACTTCATCATTAGAAGATATCAAAGCCATCTGCTGAAGGAGAAAGCTGCTGAGAACAATAGGTTTTCAAGTTTGTACCTTGATTTTTACAGTCACTTACATAAAATTGACATATATATATATGTATAGTGCCAATAAATACACACAAAATATTTCCAGTGCCTTCTTGACTTTTTAATACAAAAATCTACAGACGATGGAAGAACATAGTTTGACTTGTGCAACAATGAGGGATTCTGGAAGCAAGTTTAGTTCATAATTCTGAAAAAACATCCCACCAAAACATTCTGGAGTTAGGGCACTTGATAATGTTGTATTATCTGTATTATCTAACTATCTGTATTATCTAATGTTGTATTATTAGCTGGTGCTCCTGATACTTCTAAGGCAAAAACAAACTTGTAACTGCTGCTGTTGACAAACTTGGCTCCTGCTTTCCACTTTTGAAGAGATTCTTATCTGTCTTTGGCATCATGGAGCCCTAATTTTCTTCGAGAACCTGTCTGACAACAGCTGAGTGTGCTAGAGAACACAGCCCTCATTCAGCTGCTCGTTGATGAGCTGGAAAGTGTATATAACCCATGCTGTTCCTGGGGGTGCAGACTGCCTCCGCTTTGTGCTCCATCCTGCAAGGTGCTGAAGAGACAAAGTCTCCAAACCCTGCCAGACTGAACTCAGTGATCTCCCCAAAAGCTGGAAGTACTGTGATACAGAACATGTCCCCAGCCTGGAAAAGGGATCTTTGTACATGAACAAAGCTGGCATGAACTTTGTGCGTGAGCAAATAGTTTCAGCTGTGGTTGGGCATCTCAGGAAGTTAAACTACCATGGGTAATGTCTTGCTCTCCAGGAAGAACTTAATGGTGTAGCAAATTCATCATTTGAAGGTAAGGCTCTTCCTTCCATCAAGATCACAATGGAGTGGCACTTAAATGTCTACGTACATAGCTGCCCTATGTTCTACTCAGGCAGCAAGTATTTGAGCAGCTTAAGTGCAATGCTGTGTATCTGCTGCAGGCAGCTGCTGCTGTTAACAAATATCTTAATACTAATAAAAAGCTTTTAATTTGAGATAACTATTGTATTAAAATTAAAAAAAAAAAATCTTCTTTGATGTGGATGTTCCACAGGAGAAAGTCTGATGCTTACTGCTTAGTTAACTTCTGGCTGATCTGAGGATGCTGCCACTCACAGCCTAACAAAACATCTCAGGTATGTGAGTGTGGGTGAAAGCCAGGGTAAATGTGCCTGAACGTGATTCCTCCCTCTGAGTTTGCAGGCGAAAACCTCCCTTCAGCCAGAGCACGTGGCCCTTAACCAGAAATCTCTTCTAAAACAATTTAAAAACGGCACTTGCAGTTCAATCCTGGGATGTATCAACAATAGTGCAAATAGGAAAGAAAATGGGAGAAGGTTTCTGGGTTCTGCTAGTGGAAAGCAATCGGACACACTCAGTTCCCAAGCTGCCGAGGTGCTCTCACGTAGAGGTAGGGAAAGCATGGCTCTTTGATCAGGTGATGATATTCAAAGTTGGCTGGAAGAATATCCTCATCTTCCTCGTGTGCTCAGCGGGGCATTGCTCAACCTTCACATTTTTTCTTTTGAAATGGGAGCCCTACATACCCCGTGGCAAAGAAAAAGGGCCGTGTCTGAGTTCACTCTGGTGGGGGATCGCTCACCGTGTGTGTCTGGAAGCAAAGATGATTGATGCACAGCAGAGGAGGTTTCTCTGGCTGTATGAGCAGATCGCTCTTGCGTGTGATTTCGTTAGTGTTTTTGGATGGAGACCAGGCTCAGAAGCTTTTAAATTAGTTAACTTGCATTTTTATTTTCATAACACTTGGAAACAAAACTCTAAAGTCAGTTCTGCTGTTGAAGGCTCACACCGGTACTGAAGCACAAAACAGTACACAATCATTTATATGAAAATACATTACAGTAGCAAAATGCTATACTGGCGTTTAACACCCAGATTTGGGCAAAAATTCATGACACTGTCTGATTCTTCTAAAGAATGAATTTTCTCCTCATTTCCCATCTGAAATGATGGGCCACTCAAGAGATTAATAAAAGCAAAACGCAGTGCAGTCAGTTGGATCGCACGGAGTTGAGTAACGACGTTCTCTCAAAATACGTTTTGTGTGTGTGTGTGTGTGTGTGTTGGAAATGACAGTACTTTCACCCATTCCTTTTGGTTAGTGTAGCCTGGCCGTGTCCCTTGCCTCTGAGGGATGGCTCAGACTAACATTCACCAAACTGGCACGTCCAAACTCTTCCCACCAGCCTACTTGATGCTATTTGGGTGATGTTTGACTCAGAAACCCGACCTTAAATTTCCACCTCTAGACCCCAGTCCTGCCAAAACACATGGTGGCCCATGTGAGTTCTCCTTATTGAGAGGCTACCCATGTAGTGGTGTTGTTCAGGGTAAACATGGCTAAAACATTCTACCAATCAACTTTTAATTGGCTTTACTCCTGTATGCCAATAAGGGAAACTGAGCTGCCTTTTACAATGGCATTCTTTTTACCCACAAGCTTAAGACTAAGCAAGGCATGCATGTATGTTGGTAAGATTGGAGTTGTAATCTCTTATAGCTTGATTTAGATTTACTTATTGATACAGAGAGAATGCTCATTTACTAACATATAGACCTTAAGGGGAAAGGAAGCAGTAGGTAAGTGAACTGCATTAGGAATTTGGGTTATATTTAGCGTTAGATTTTGGAGATCAAAGAAATCAGAGAAGAAAAGAATTCCTAAGAACAGAAGTCTTTTGTTAATAAATATTCGTAAAAAAATATACAACAACAAAGCCAACAAGACCTGAAACAGCTTCTTTCAATGTTTTTTGTACTGAGCAGTTCTTAAATGTCTTTTTCTGAGAGATGAAAGGGCCAAATCCAGAAACCCTACCATTATTTTTAGCTCGTGAACATAAGCTGCCTTCTTGAAGCTCTTCCTCTAGGAGAGCTTCTTCCAGCTGTCTCAGTTTCACATCCACCCAAAACAAAACGCGTTTTCAGCCTGACCGCAGGCTGAAAGGTCACTTGTTCACAAGGCCCCATTTCATCACCTCGTTCAACTGAAAATGCTGACCTATGGGCATCTTCACATCTCCACAAATGATTTACATTAAAGGAACTCTTTTTTTCTAACCCAATAACAGTGATTTTTCCGAGAACGCTTCCGTCCTCAATTAGCTTTGGGAAAATCTGATCACCCGCAGCTTGGGTTCAGTCTGCCTGAGATCCTTCCCTCTGAGCCTGACCTCTATTCCCCTTAAGCAGCTTTACCCCAGTGCTGTACCATTGGCTTCTGCAGTCAGTGGGGTCACAGCCAGCCCTGGGTGCTCCCTGCTGTACCTGCTGGTCACTGTTACAGAAGCGTTATTAGCACTAAGAGGGGGAAAAAAGGGGAGAAATAGAAATTTCCACTGGGGTGGCTGTGCTTGGATCAATCTGCCTGCACTACTTTAAAACAAGTAGTGCTAGATATGTTACTTTATGCTCTGTAAATTGTGCTGGCATGCTAAACGTGCTAGAAGCCAGTGTATGAGATGGGGTGGGACAGCTTGCAAGGCATGAACTAAAATAAATACACTTGTGCTACGGCCAGTGGAACAAGACAGTCACATCTGTATCTGTTACAGCAGCAGGAGATGCTTGTGAAATTTGTCGTCAGTGTACAGCAGGCACAAATTATGTCTTGTTATAGCAAAAGGCTCATCATTGCCAAAGCACTTCCTAAAACTTGTACATAGAGTATGCATAAATATATATAGAAAATCTATGTATGTACATTTATGTAGCCCTAGAAGGCTCTTTCTCTGTGAGCCAAATACTGCATGCATGACTCCTCTCCCCTAGAACCCATATTACACATAATTCAGTGCAACAAGCAGTAAGGGATGACAACTTAAAATATAGTATTTATGGAAATCTGTTCTACAAGCCTATTAAGACTGCATTATGGCCTCATAGGAGTGTTACATAATCTCATTTGTAGAAATAAAGACCTTTCTGGATTTCTGTAAATATCTCAGTAAAGCTAGAATTTGCATTTCAATTTTCTCCAAGGATAAACCAAATTCGTCCTATTAACTTCACAGAAGCTTTTTTAACTAGTGGCTGAGAATCCCCTGTCCTGGACAGGTCACTTTAAGTCTTCTCTCTGTGAGATAAAAAATGAATTTTTGTGTGCTGGTCACCTATGTGCCTTTCTATGGAGGTCTGCAAGAACGCAGATCCAGTTTTGGGCACAAAACGAAGGGATCAGAAGCTCTGAAGGACTCAAATCTAAGATCTAAAAAAATGGAAAGTCTTAGGGTTTCCCAGAGGAATAAACTTTTCCTGGACTTGTGATTTTACCATATTGGTGCAAAGAGAAAAGCTGGGGCTTCTTAAGCAGTGGGAAAAGCCCTGCTGAGGTGGTGATGGTGAGCTGCCCTTCTGGAGAGTAACAAGGACAGATTGGGTGCTGGGTGCCTCCTTGGTGCTAACAGCATGCTGCTGGGGCCCATGTCCCTGGGTGGAAATGTTAGCTAGGCCATCTTGGTGACACTTCAGGCCAAGAAGGAAGGAGCCCAATGGGGAAAGGGAAGAAAGAGGGAGAGTTGCAGAGAGCGCAGCCTGGCCACTGGACAGACCCTGCCAAACAGCTGCCTGGTAGGGACTCAAGTGAGAGACCACCAAGCAGTTCAGTGTGTAAAGCCTGAACATAGAAGAGCGTGACTTGACTCACTGACAGTGATGTATTTACTGTGGGAGGAGAAGGGGAGCTGGGGAATTTCCCTGAGATAGTAATGTCTATGAGAAAAAGAAGCACGAGATGGGAAGCTAAGCATTCCCAAGCTCTGTAGCTGGCCATGGCACACTGCGAGCTTCTCTTTGGATCCTCCGACCTTTTGCATGGACTACTGATCGTCAGCCTGCACCCAGGCAAAGGATGGGGAGATCTTTGTGTCAGCAGATTGCTGCAGCAGTGGTTGCAAAGCGTTAGGAGGGCACTGATGTCTTTAGTTGCATTTGCTTTGCATGATGCACGGTGGAAAGCAAAATATTGCAGAGCAATTTTCTTTTTTCTTTTTTTTTTTTTTTTTAAATTTCTGTGATTGGTTTTTGAAAGTGTGGAGGATGTTTCTGCGTATCTCCCTGCCTTCTTTTTTTTTGGTTGTTTTTTTTTTTTTTCTGCTTTCCTAATGTTTGGATCTGGTGGGGGGATTCCACGGTCATGCTGAAATGAAAATGTTTCTGCACGCTCCCTAGAAGTTTTAAATAAAAGCTAAAGCCTATACATTGACTTAAATATCTGTAAATGGTATCCTGGAAAACAAAAGAAAATCAGGTAGCTTCTGCAAAACACATGATATAATTTTAATCTACTTTACAGGGAAACTGGAAGTGATTAATTGAGCAGTTAATGATTAATCTAGGCTTTATATTAGTGCAAAGCACTGAACTGTGTTTAAGGAAATTATTAATTGTAATTGCCTTTAAGAATCTGAAGAAAGATGATGCAAAATTACACTGGAAGTGCTGGAGAAAGTTTAAAACACTCTTTTCAGTTGAAGAAATGATGTACTGGAAAAGGAATTAGTGATGCAGCCTAGCCTATTTACGATAAATATCCCTACCCAACCCATAAAAAAAGGTTCCTCTCCAATATACAGAGCTTTCAAGAATCCCCATCATCTTTTAAGTCTGACTTTCATTTTTCTGGAGTTTTTTGGGCTGCTTCCATTCATCCTGCAGCTCCAGCTCCCCCCCCCCCATAATTTAAGGCAGCAGGTGAGTGAAGCACAGAGGACAGCACAGAGACCAGCTCCCCAACATGCAACCACCAAACCAGGGCCCTTAAGGGAGGCTTCCACAAAGCTGCTGCCAGAGACCTACAATAAAAAGGCACCAAAGAAGGTTTTGTGCTCCTTAGTGTAATCCACCAGCTTGATGTCACTAACGTTGACCATTAGCTTGTCTCCTATCTCTAAGGAAACCACAGCTCCCAGATAAATGGGCTGGAACCAGTTGTTCCTTTCTTCACTGAGGGTCTTGCTGCTGGTCAGCAGCTGGGTGGGCTCGGGATAGCTGTCAGTGACTTTGGTGATGACTGCAGTGACAGAATTGGTTTTACTTGAAGTGTCACTGGGCCCTCGGAAAGTGACCTGGGCATAGACATAGTAATCCCCCGACACAGGTATCACCAGTGCTTTGCTGGAATAACTCAGGTTGTTCTTGGTAAAGGCCAAGCCTCGCTTGTCTTCCCACTGCAGGATGGGCAGATGTCTTCCCGTGGCGCTGGAGGGATCTTGTTTCTTCACTGTGGAAGAAAGAGGGAGAAGAGATGTGTTAGTTTGTTCCAGCTGGAGAAATACAGGATGTTTCCTCCACAGGGCAATCAAAACTCCAGGAGAGAAATGTTTTTCCTTTACAGTCAGTCAGCTGCAGGCAAACTGTCAAGAGCTACTTTTGGAGGCTGCCCATAAGATGTCCAGATCTGAGCAACCAAGAGCCAAAGCCAAAGTTGGAAGACCTTGGTTGGAGCATGCTGCCCACAGGGCTCGGTTACAGCTGGGTATCCTAGGTGACAGGGCATCCCAAATGATGGGACTGTCCATCCCTAAGGCTGTCTCACTGTGGGGTAGGACACAGGGCTTTTGCTCATAGGTCTGGAGTGCTCTCACCCATTTGCAAAGCATAAACTTTGTTCTTAAGTGAAAGCAGTGCTGGGCCAGTCGTACAGCTGGATACGTGCCTGCACCTAATGGCTCAGGACAGCAGTCAGAGACACGAGAGCAGTGTCTTCGTGAGTACTGATGGACTGAAGCTGTGTTTGTGCCATAGCAGAGCTAACTACTACTATTAACTGAGGACATCAGGCTCTGTTTGCTTGCAGAAGCTTCACAACGATCATTGTGATCTATCACTGAGCACTGAAAACCTCGAATTCTTCCTGCCAGGTTACTTCTGGAGGCTAACAATGGGGTTTGCTGCTGGGTGCTGCACTGAGATCTTCTGCTGCACAACTGCCGTCCTTTGATTTCACCATAGAGCTAGAAAACCCCACTGTGCTTTAAAACACCCACTTCTGAAGTGACACGCTGTAATAAAACCCATTTTTAACTCTGTTTTGAAAACGTTTGGGACAGAACACTAAGCTCGGTGCTAACTTCAGCTTTACTTCAGACAGAACAACCAACAAACAGAAACGCTCCCGCGGTTAACCGATGACACACAGAGCTCCAATCCACCTCCAGCACAGCCTGATCTAAGCAGAGGATCAGGATGCTCAGGACGGGGGGGGGGGGAAGAACCAGGGAGCGGCTTTCATGAGCTTAAGTTAATGCTTAAGGTCAGTTATGATTCAGCATTTGGGGATAGGGTGTGTGTGCACAGGCAGGGAAGCAAACTGAAGGCGGGTGGGGATGAGCTTAGAAATGCTCTTGGCAACGTCTGTTAGGTTTATTCTGGGGGAAATGAGATCCAGGAAAACAAATACCCTCAGCCCCCAGTGCCATCCTTTTTTTCCTGTCTTCTGACAATAGATAACCCGTAGGAAAACAAGCTGCTGTTAGAAGTGCAATTTCTTGCATATTCTCTCAGTAGCACAACAAAATAATGGCTTTTTTCCCAGCCTGCCTGTCAGTGCTCGGAAAAATTAAATCCCTCTATCTTTTCCCAGAAGGCAAAGCACATGGAGTATTTCTTTGCTGGAAGACGATAGACGGGGACTGTGATAGCAAGCCAAGCTAAAATATAAAAGCATTATAAAGAATGTGAGGCTTAGGGGAAACAGAGCTTTGCTGATATAGAAAGAGAGGAGGAAATAAAGCAAAAGCACTCCTGGTCTGTGTCCTCGTCTGCTTTGGGACCTGGCAAAAACTAACACGGCACTGGGGTCACTGTGGCTAAGGAGTAAGGCCTCTCTGAGATAGGGTGGTGGCAGAGGAAGATAAGGAAAGATTGTAACATTTCCTGAAAGAGTTCTGGGCTCTCTTCCATCTTGGGTAGAAAAAACTGAGGAGAAGGCTCAGGAGAAATGTTCTTTTTCTACATATCCAATGACGCATTTAAGATGTCAGCGACACTCAATTCTTCAGTGTTTTTAATAACTACGAAGCCTCTCATATGAAACACATTATTTCATAACTTCTGGAATGAGGCAATTCTAAGTTTTATGGCTCTAACCTTCCTTTTAGGTTAAAACTCACTTGGTTGATGCTCTCCATTTTCAGGCTGGTCAAATTTCCCCATGCTTTAGAGATATATCAGGAAAGATGCATGTTGAAGTGCCTCTGAATATTGTATGGCTCCTTTTCCAGCACAGCCATACTTGTCATTCATTTACTTCTTAAGTATATGGAGCTGCACTTCCTGCAGATGCACATCTTATGCTAATCTCTGAAGTAAATAAAATCTGCTTTCACTATGGGATTTACTGCTGCAGTTCCTTCAAGTTTCCCTTTCACTTTCATTTTTTTGTGCATCTCTCAGATGTAAAATTTCTTCTCTTTTCCTAAAATCCCTTTTGGTTTAGCCACTTGCTGGGGAATCCCTGTCACTTGGTTGCACTGGTGGCATGCTGGTGAGCTTGGGTTTCTGTGGTTCATGGCCCTCACTGGTGACACTGAGCTATACCTTAGGAAGGAGATGAGGGCCTTGGACTCTTACACAGCTCCGGTCTCGTGCTGCACAAGTTGCAAAGCACAGAGGGGTCTCTGTTTTTCAAGAAATTTAATAATTGATCTTAAAATCACAGAATCATACGATCATAGAATGGCCTGGGTTGCAAAGGAGCACAGTGCTCATCTGGTTCCAACCCCCTGCTGTGTGCAGGTCACCAACCAGCAGCCCAGGCTGCCCAGAGCCACATCCAGCCTGGCCTTGAATGCCTGCAGGGATGGGGCATCCACAGCCTCCTTGGGCAACCTGTTCCAGTGCCTCACCACCCTCTGGGGGAAAAAACTTCCTCCTAATATCCAATCTAAACCTCCCCTGTCTCAGTTTAAAACCATTCCCCTTTGTCCTATCACTATCCACCCTCATAAACAGCCATTCCCCCTCCTGTTTATACACTCCCTCCAAGCTAAACAAGCCCAGTTCCCTCAACCTTTCCTCATAGGAGAGGTTGCCAAACTGCCAAGTGGAGCCAGGAAGTTATTTTCTACCCAGATTTAGCGAGGTGTTCAGATAGCATCACAGCACAGCAAGTGCTGGACAAATCTTTGGTTGGGTCTCCGTCACACACTTCATCCAAAGGTGCCATGCCATCTCATGCAGGCACTGGTCTGCCTCCTGACCTGAAGCACAGCTCCATAAGGGCCGCAGGGATGGTGGTGGTCAGCACCAAATCTGAACTACTGCATGGGAAACAGTGAGGGTGGAGAAAAGCCCCAGCTGGGGTTCACACTGACTGTTCTTCAGTGGCAGACAGGGAGAGGAGGTCTTGGTGTCGGTACGGATGAGTCCAAACTGCTCTGTGTATTTTCCAGAGGCCAAGGACAGGTGGAGAAAAGGAACAGAGACCCAAACATTGAGTCATCCTGTTACTGCTAATTTAGTGGTGCATTCCCGTGTTAAACACTCTGGTTAGTTCTCATTCCTTTCACTCTGCTTTTACATTTAAAACATACGTTCCTAAACCCAGAAGGAGAGAGGGGCAGCTGGAGCTCTGGAGAAGATCTGCCATGAGGAAAGGCACCTAGCCTGCTATCTGCACAGTGAACCAGGCACCTGAAGTGGGGGAATGTACAAAAGATCTGAAGAATAATTATTCCTTTTTCACTTTCTCTGCCCAAGTCATGGTTTCAGAGAAGTGAAGACCAGAAGGACACCCAGGAAATCATTATACAACAAGTTTAGAACAACGCCAAAGACTTCTGCATTGAGCTCAGGAAATCATTGCTGCAGGGTGCAGAAAAGCAAAAGAGAAGTGCTTGAACCCAACAAGAAAGCTTAAAGCCAAGTTCATGGAAGCCTGGTTTCCTGGTGGCTCGGTGGCACAGCAGCCTGGTTGCAGCCTTCAGCTCAGGCTCTCGACTCTGTTATGCACAGATAAGAAGTGAGAAAATTCCCCTTGCTTTTTCCTTCTCCCAGATAAAACTGATGGGGCTGAGGCAGGAGGTGGACAGGCCCCATCCCAGGGCACTGCTTGGGAGTGATGGTGGAGGAGTTTCAAACAGAGGCCTGAGAAAACTTAAAGCAAACTGTTGGGTGCTTCCCTGTGACAGTTGGACTTTTGTGCAACCCAGGGAAGTTCCCATCAGCAGAGCAACACTTGGGCTGCAATTGTGAGTCAGCTGCACTGAGAGCCTCTGGGTCTTGGTCATGTGGAGATTTGGGAAACAAAGGGACCTACATTAGCAGCCAAGGTCCTTCTTCTGCAGACCTGAGGGAACAGCATGGAGCTGTCAGGGGATGGCCCAGTGGGGTTGGGGAATGGCTGTGTCCCAGAGGGCAGTGAGCACAGCCCTGGAGCTCAGGGAGTGCTGGGACACTGCTCTCAGCCATAGGGCTGCGGGTTGGGGGGTCCTGTGTGGAGCTGGGTTGGGCTCAGTGATCCCTGTGGGTTCCTTGCAACTCAGGATATTCCGTGGTTCTGTGATTTTATGTATTTTGAGCAAGCACAGATCCATTTTGCAGTTCTATCCACCTGTGTGTAGAAAGGGGTGGGACATAAGGAGTGCATTAAGAAGGAGCTTGGGGTTAGGGAAAGTAAACAAACGATAGTGGTTGACAAATCAGCCCTGAAGCTCTGATAACCCCGTGCATACACGTGTTAAGTCTCGTGTAACTTCTTGCATGCTTCAAGTTACTACAGGGCTCCTCTGGGACAACACACAGGCTACTGGGGAAGCCTCTGCAAGTGAGATATATGTTGGGGAGGTATAAATTATCTTAGTGGACATAAGGGGGGGGAGTCCAGAGCAGCTGGAGAGCTCCTCAGCTCTCAGTCCCATCCACTCAGGAAACTACAAATCTTTTTCTTCAGGTAGTATTCCCTAAGTTCCTTTCAATGTGCTGACAGCCTCAGCTTTGATGCTGAGGTGGTGATGTTCTGAGCTGGCATCTTCCTAGCCAACACAAGCTGACAACAAGCTCTTCCCTTGGTTGCTCCAATGCATGTTACGTGTGACCTCAGCAAAACCAGGAAGCTATTGATGGGAATGTGGTGTGTGTGGCTTCAGGTTGCACTTGCAGAAAATATAAGCACCCCAAAACCGGCCTTATTTGGTCTTATTTTACTCCAGAACTGGCAGATCTTTCTAACTCACAGCTCACTTGGGCTCTTCCCACCAATGTGGGACCCAGCAGATCACTAACATGACAGGCAGCACTGAAGCTCAGTTACAGGAACCCAAGTGCTCACACAATGACAGCAACAGCCCAGGGAAGTGGCAATGTTTGCCAGCTGCCTCCTCTGTGGGCCCTTTCCTATAATCACTGCTGTGGTCAATGAGACAAAGCTGGTGACTTCTTCCACTGCATCTTGCAGCTTGATTCTATCAGACCCTATAAACCTTGGTTATTGCACTGCAACATCTGTGAGACCCAAAGGAAACACTGGTTTGGAACAAGCATTACCTGTCAGGTGTGCTCTTGGCTTCTCGGCACTGGGAAGTGTGTCTGTAACTGGGGGAAAAGAGGAAAAAAGTTTAAGTGTGTGGAGGGAAGGCGTGAGGGATGAACTCACAGGCTCCCAAATCCACACTTCGGCCCATAAGGGAGATATGTTGGTCCCAGCAAAATGCCGGGAGGTGTGAGCCCACCTGGGATGGAGTTGGCCCTGTCTGGGGTTGGGAATGCTCACCCCTCGCTATGGCCCCAGCTGTACCCATCTCCCCACATCCCGTGACCCTGCCCTGCCCTGACATGCTTGGATCCTCGTGGTGAGAGCAGGCAGGGAGCTGTCTGGCCCAGGGGCTGCGTCAGCAATTGCAAAACCTCGACAAACAGAGATGATGGGGATGGGAAAAGGGCTGGCACACTTACCAGCAGCTACTGCTCGCTGCTTCAGAAAGTGAGAGCTCCTCTCGTCCACGACCTGCAAGAGAGATGTGCAAGAAGTTAGCTCCAGGGCTCCTGCACCACATCCAGTTTGCTTACCCCCCAGAACAGGAGATGGTACACTGATATCCTCCTCCTCCTTCTCCTCCGTTAAAGCTTTTATGTAAAAGGACAAGCCCTGACAGAGCTTTGCTTCAGTGCAAGTTTCTTGCTGCTTGTTTGAAGCCACCCACATCTCGGGCAGGTGTTGGGGCAGGAGCTGGGCTGCTGTAGTGGCTGTGCTCAGCTCGTGGGTTGGACAAACCCCTGGCACAGCTTGGGGAGCACTGAGGGAAGGAACTATCACTCCTAGGCCAGTGCCTCTGCATAGCACTGCTGGAGCACTGCTGCCTGGTGGCTGCTGTCTCCATCTGTGCAGTGAAATGGAGCAAGCAGCACAGCACGAGATGCTCTTCCCTGCTTCAACCATCTGCATGGTGCATTTGAAACACCAGTAAAGAGGTGTACCATCTACAGACCTGCAGCTTCTCTTTCTACACCTGCATTATTTCAGGCTGCAAGTCTACTGCTTAGGCATATCTTGAATTGTGGGCAAGATAGACTTATTTCACATTTGTTTGCACCTTAAACCTTCCCCCAGCACTAAGCATGAGCACATCCCCACAGTGACAGTGCCTGTGCCAAGCAGTGCCAGCCTTTGGGTTGAGCAGAAAAAGAAGAAGGGGCTGCTGGCTGCGTGCTATGCTGACGGGCTGCTTCCAGCTCACACCCTGCCATGCTCCTGTAGCTCCAGCTCTCCTCCAGCAGCTTGGAAAGCAGTGTGGCTGCAGGGGGAAGGAAGGAGCTGCGAGATGCTGGCTGTGCATCCCTGTGACATATTTATCAAGTAGTGTATTTTCAGACAGTGCTAAGTGCCACAAAGAGCCACAAATCAATCACAAATCACAACATTTAACGATGTAACTTCAGTGGAGCTGTTTGCGTAAAGCCTAACTTCACGTATCTTATGTACACTCAGGTGTTGAAATAAAAGCAGAGGTGAGAGGGAAGGACCCCACTGCTCAGTCAAAAACATCAAAATGGTTTTATCTGCCAGCGGTAAAGAAGCTTTTCATGCAACCTCCGTTCACTTGTTTCCAAAGAATGCCAGATGGATGCTCCTCGAGCAGCAGCTGCACTTCTGTGCCCTGAAGAGCAGCAGTGCCGAAGAGCTGTGCTGCATGGTGTGAATGTGCTCTTTGCGTGGCAAAGCTGGAGGTTTTTTCCTAATTGTGCTGTTTGATAAGGACACAAACCTCAGCTTAAACAGAAAATATTTGAGTACTTAAAAAGGCTACACAATAGCCTGATGTTAGCAATGCTTGTGCTGCTGATGTACGCTAGGGGTGTGGATGAGGTGCATAAAGAGCTTTCAGGATGAGGGGGGTGAGGGAGAGCCAAGCAGCACAAGGCAGTAGAGAAACCACACAATTAGCATTTTTCTCTATTCTCCTTTCTTGCTTAGCTGGGCTTCTGTAAAGTTCACCAAGTGGCCACAGTTTTCCCTTTGGTTACAGCAGAGAAAATGTAAGCAGCATTGAGCAACTTTGAAAATCCCGCCCTACAGCTGAGCTGGGAGCAAAGGGCATCTCCAGCACCTATGGTAATCCTGAAAACTGCAGTATGCAAAACTCCACTACTACCCAAAGTCCCGCCGCATTTACATCTACAGCCCAGGAGGAGGGCAAACACAAAACATCCCCTTTGCACCTCAAGGAAGGGCTGGGGTTGTCCAGGAGAACTGCCTGGGAAAAACAGGCTGGCAGTGGAGGTGGGGGGATTCATGAGCCAAACATCCCCAGCTCCATTTTTAGCACAAGGTGCAATCTCATGGCAGGTCTCTGCAGGGCACACATGGTGCTTGCACTCGGTTTTCCTCAGCTCAGGGGTGCTGCATGGCCTGGATTTTTGGCAAAAGCTGTCCTTAATGCTGGATGCATTTTGCCTGGGCTGTGGCATATACTGGCTGTTCTGTCCGTGAGAACCGTAAGCATCAAAGAGAAGTTTTATGGCTTTTGGAAGAGTCTCCCACACCCAGGACATGGCTCAAGGCTCCCTGCTGCTCCCCCAGCACCTCTACATCCCTATGGATCAAGAAGTCATTTTGAATCACAGTCATTATGGCTGGAGAAGACCACTAATATTAACTAGTCCAAAGATCAGCCCATGCCCACTACTCACATCCCTCACTGTGACATATACCCTCTTATTGAAAACCTCACGGGATGGTAACTCCACCACCTCCTTGGGCTTCTCCTTCCCACTCGGGCAGGCCATGAGGGCATCTGGCTCTGCATGGGTTACAGCTCTGCCAATCTTATTCTGATATTTGCTGCTTCATCCTTTTGGACTATAGGATGGAAACCCAGGCTGAGCTTCTCCTGGCTCAGCCAGGCTGACATGGCACACAGGTACACGTGCAAATTTTTTGTCTGGTTTCACACTGAACCTCCCTTGTGCCCTGCTTGTGGTCCTGCCACGCTAAGGTTCCCAGCAGCACAAGCCCAGGTACCAAAATCTGCAGGGCAGGCCTTGACTTTCAGCTTTATGGAATGAATGGAGTGAGTTGCTGGGATGGATGGAGATGCTTGCCTGGATTCCCTTCAGTGCATTTGCGCATTCAGATTAAAACTTGGCTTTCCTTCTGGGAAGGATGCCCCGCAGCCTTTTATGATTTCCTGCTAATAGCCCAAACTGTGTCAAATGCTTAGAGAACCCTATTTCCTCACCTTGCTTTGTCTTGAAGAACAAAAGAAACTGATTTCTACTTCCAGCAGGGAAGCCGCGTGTGAACCTGGAAGGTGTCCAGGGAACCCATCATCAAGCCTCAGTTACTCACACAAGACACAGCTCACCACAAGAAAGAGAACCGGTGGTTCGCACGTGTTGCTGTGATGACATAACTGCTCTTCCCTAAAAGGGGCATTTCCTGAGGAAAAGGTGAGCTTATGTCCCTTCTGAGGAGAGCATGACACCACGGGCACCCACACAGTAGCTGAGATGAACAACCGTCTCACCCTGCAGCCACAGAGGCACACCCCGCTTGCACAACCCTCCCCCTCCTCCTTGCTCCAGGAAGGATGGGTTCAGGGATTTACTACGTGCTTCTCACCCGTTCGGCTGCACCAGTTCCTCCCAGCTGGTGCTGGAGCTGTGGGCCAGAACTGGCCAGAGTGCAGTGGAAAAAGATAATCCTGTATGGGCTGAGCTCTGGTCCTGCGGCACTCCTGCCATGAGCTCACTGCTGCAAGGGTCAGCGAGCAAACTCATGTCAGCTGCAAAGCAGGGCCAGCCCACCTGCTTCCAGTGTGCCCAGGGCACCCACAGCCCAAAAGCGCTGCTGTGAGGGCTTCCGAACACATAGAACCACAGAATTGCTCAGGTTGGATAAGATCGTCAAGTCCAACCACATCGTAACCGTGCTAGCCTAACTCTGACAGCCCACCACTAAATCATGGCCCTGAGCACCACATCCAGATGGTTTTTAAACACACTCAAGGATGCTGACTCAACCACCTCCCTGGGCAGCCCATTCCACTGCTTAAAAACCCTTCATGTAAATGATATTTTCCTTATACCCAACCTAAACCTCCCTGGTGCAACTTGAGGCCGTTTACCCTCATCCTGTCACCTGTCACAAGTGAGAAGAGACCAACCCTGCTCTTGCTGCAATCTCCTTTCGGATATTTGAAGACAGCAAGATGGCCCCAGTTCCTTCAGTCTCTCCTCGTAGGGCCGTATTCTCCAAGCTCTCCACAAGCCTTGCTGCCCTTCTTTGGACCTGCTCCAGTGCCTCAGTGTCATTTCTGTACTGAGGTGCCCCAAACTGAACACAGTACTCGAGGTGAGGCCTCACCAATGCTGAGAACAGGGGCAAGATGACTTCCCCAGTCCTGCTCACCACACCATCCCTGATCCAAGCCAGGATGCCATTAGCCTTCTTGGCCACCTGAGCACACTGCTGCTCACATTCAGCCGACTGTTCATCCGTACACCAAGGTCCCTTTCCATCAGGCAGCTTTCCAGCCACTCATCCCCAAGCCTGTAGGGTTACCTGCGCTTGTTGTGACCACAATGCAAGACATGCCTTCTCCCAGCTAAGTTCTTTATTAATGGGACACGTGAAGAAGGCATCCTCCAGCAACACAATTCTAATTGTATAAATGCAGCTGGAAACACAAAAAGACCTGGTCCTGAGAGCCTGTATACTCAGAACCTCTCCTCTGGATCCAGCTGTGCTGCAGACATGGTGAGCTCAGAGGGGTGAACAGCAAGCAAGCAACCCCCCCCCCCCCCCCCAATGCACTCTGCTGCTGGACAAAGCTGGTGACACACTCAGAGTTTGGAGGAATGAATGAAAAGCTCAGCAAATGCAGCACAGTGCTGCCAGGCACACCCCCACCCAGCTTAGCACTGGTACCATGGGCACACAGCCAGCCCTGGTGCTTTTCCTGCCTCAGTGGGACGTGCAAAGGTTGCAAAGCAACTGATCACCTGATTGCATCACCGTGGGATTATTACACTCTAATTCAGTGCATGTGCATAGAAGTACATGCTTGTGAAGGGCATGTATAGGCTAGAGCAAACCTAATGGCTTACATTGCTCTTTTCCTCTTAAAAAAAAACAGACCCTGACACAAACACTTTTCTCTATTGACTGTGCCAGCAGAATAGGAACAAGGAATGCACTATTCTACCTAACAGCTTGCATTCTATCGTTAATTCATTCTATTACTAATTCTCTTTAAGGTCATCTCAGGAATTGAACTGTTCTGCTTGGAACCTCAGAGGGTGGGAACAGCAAGAGGAAAGAGACAGCCCCCCAAATACCTTCTCACTGCATGCACCCACTCCATAAACAGCAGGAGGGTCAGCACAGCAGTAAGCACTTCTACACATGCAAGAAATCAGCATGTTTAGCAATCTGAGGTGCCAGGGTGTTGCACCTCCTGCCAGCTGGGTGCAAAGTTAACGTGGAAGATGCTGCACCAGGAGCTGCGTCTGCTTGGGTATAAACTCAGGTTCAAAGCAGGGCCAGAGCTTTTCTATGCAGCCAAACAAGCAGAGGCACAGAGCTGCGGGCACAGCTGTCAGACTGTCTAAATACACACAAGCAAAATGGTTGCTGCATCCAAAATTTACCCTCGAGGCCACTTATTAACGCTGCTGTCTTCTGCTGTCCCTAAGTGACAAGCAGACTAATTGAGTGCAGAATTTCAGACCTGCAGCTAACATTCCTTCAAACCTTCATTCTTCAGAGCTGTATGCGTGTGCTCTTCTTACACAGGGCAGCCCTGATAGATTCATAGGATAGAATGGAAAGAAGCACTTGCAGGCTAACACAAGCAGGAGCGGGGCAGCACAGAAGAGCTTTAGTGGTGACCACCTTCACCAGCCCAGGAGCAAAGAGAGCTCAGCTGTCTTATCAAAGAGATGAGAATTTCCCCAGATGTAGAGAAAGTTTTGATAGGGAGCAAATCCCACAGTGGGAAATTTAGGGTCAGGCCCCATAGTTGTCCCGGATGGTATCTGTGCAGGGCTGTACTTTAATAACACGTGAGAGCTGCTGCTGCCTGCTGGGTGATGTATGATGGGCACTGAGCCACTGACATCAGCGTTTGGTCAGCAGATGATTGCTGAAATAGGACATGGGAGGGGAAGTCTCAGAGCTCATCTGAAAGGAGGAAAACGAGTATCAAAATCTGGCTGAGATCAGTGCAGAGACACAGATTTCAACCAAATAGAGATTCCCCTCAAGAATTTCAAGCAGCATGCCAGCAAAAGTTTTAAAGGCATATCTTGTACTGTGAGCAGAGTGAAATAAAGACAAGAGGAGCAGGGACTGAGCAAAAATCAGCTAGAACCTCAGCAGATTGGCTCTGCACGAGGATGACAGCACGTAACAGTGTGCTTCTCTCCTTCCCTTAAACACAAGAAACCCAAAGAGAAAACCAGACCCAGAAAATTTGGAAAAAAAAAAAAAAAAAAAAAAACCAACAAAACACAACTACAAGGGGAGAGGTAGAACTTCCACAGGTGGAGATATGGCAGTGCCTTACCTGGGGGCAGGAGGTGGGTGCTCGCAGGTTCCCAGCCAGCAGGTATGCGATGGGCAGCGCCAGCAGCAGCACGGCCAGCAGGCAGAGCAGCACGGCGCAGCGCATCCTCCTCAGGTCCTCCCTGATGTGCATCCTGGAGGCTTGGCCAGTCGCCGAAGCCTCCTCCAGGGTTATTTCAGCCCTGTGATCCATGCCGGCAATTGGCTTACGAGCTGCCGCTGAGCTTGGCAATGGCTAAACCTCCTCTGCTTTCTGCCCTGCATGGAGACCCCCATTAAATAAGAGCTGCCCGGAGTGTGGGAAGGCACCGACACACACACACCCTCCCTCCCGAGGAATGCACCGCCTACAATAGAAACCTAGCTCAGGGAAGGGAGCACCGCGGCTCCCCGAGCTCCCCGGGATGCCTGCTGTCTGCCTCTGCCTTTTTTTCCCCTCGCCGTGCAGGAGGAAGCTAGGAAAGTCCCAGTGGGTGGAACCAGGATAAACTCTGCTGCCGGGCTGGATGAGCTTGAAAGCTTTTCCGCGTGGCGAAGGGAACGTGAAACCAATGGGAGGGAAAGTGAGAAGCGAAGGGGGAGCACGAGGGCGAGCGGCCGTGGCTCGGTTTCAGCGCGGCATGCAGAGGAAAGGGAAGTGCTGCAGGGAAAGCGAGGAGCACCCAGGAGGGGTCCTGGACCCTGATGTACGGGTTAGTTCTCAAGTGTTAACAGGATGCTCCGGGTTGGTTCCGTGCACCTTTTGCAGCACGCAGCCAAGGGCCAGGCCAGAGAGCAATACCTTTATCACTATGCTCTCACAGGAGTCTGCGCCCTCTGCTTGGAGGAAGGAAAGCTGGGAACCCATTGCACGTGGGGAAATGTGAAAATGGCATGTCATCCTGCCCTGCTGATAACTGCTATCTCAGAGAGAAGGGTGCTGCACAGCGTGGTTCAGGCAAGGACGCTCCTGCAGCAGCTCCTGCTGCTCTCAGAGGGCCCCTGTGTGCCACACTGCAGGAGATGATGGAGATGATGGAGATGATGGAGATGATGGAGATGGTGGAGATGGTGGAGATGGTGGAGATGGTGGAGATGGTGGAGATGATGGAGATGGGGCCCTCAGGGCCGAGCCAAAGCTTTGAAATGGGAAGGTTTTCCTACAGAAGCATTGTCTCCTCAAAACTGAAACGTTCGCACATGCTGATGCATGGAAACTTCTTTTTCCCGCAGTGTGGATTTTTCTTTTCTGTTTTCAGTGGGAGAGCATTAAGTTTTGGTTCCTTCCATCTCCCACATCAAGAATGTTTCAGAGTTTTGTTACTAGAAAATGACATCTGAGTGATGAAAGTAGTTGCTTGTATCCCAACCTGCCTGCTGCACTCCAGTCACCTGCAGAGGAATAGCCCATAAAAATTCAACCTTATCACTTTAATTTTGATAACACTGTTAGAAGCCTTCTTATCAGAGGATACATTAGTAATACCTTCTGGTGCAGCCCTGTGTGTGTCACGAAGTATGCAGGCAGGAGCAGGAAATGCTGAAAGCCTTTGGGTTGGTTTAGGGAGAGGGGACAGAGAGCTGCCAAAGCACTGAGGGATGCGTGCTGCAATCCATGCTGAGCCTTGCCAGTCCTTTGTGACCTCGGACAAGTCGCTGACTTTGTTTTCTTCTCTAATTCAACGTTTGTTTTCATTCAGGCTTTAAAAGGAGGAGAAGTGTTATCATCTATTTTTAAAGCACCCAGAGCTGATTTCACTGTAGCTCCATTAGTCACATATATTTTTTTTTCCAAAGGGCAAGAATGTGCTCCTGGGAGCAGCAGCACGAGAACCCATAGTTCTGTGGAAGTGCCGTGTAGAGATGCAATGTTGTGTTTGCTAGGATCCCAGATGCTTATTCTAGGGCACAGTATTACAAAATTAGAACTAACACTTGGAAATTAACATTCCCTTCATCGCGAGTGCCCACAAATACTGAATGCACATCTGAAGCACGCCTCTCATGGAGGTCCCACCATGCTGCACTGGGTTTGGCAAGAAGGGGCAGCCCTGCTTGGCTGTCTGTCTGTGCATCCTGGTGCTCTCCAAACGCCTCGTGCTGCTCCCTTCAGTGCCCTGCTGCTCCTACCTGTGACCCCTGACAAGTTGGTATCAATGAGAGAAAAGTCTGCAGCGATCACCAGCCAGCTCCCTTCATGTGTTTAACAACCTCTAAAGGGGGGAAATATTTTACTGTAAACACATGGGAACTGAGAGATGTTTTAGGAGAAGAAAAGGCACAGATGGAGTTAGAGATCCCCGAGAGGAGGAAGGAACATCCTGTCATCGGGGCAGTCCACCTGCATGCTGCTGCCTTGTCTTTTCTTCCCGGAGTACTTTTTGTTCTGTCTGCAAGCTTGTGCATGATACACATGAGGATAAATACACTGAATCATATATATGGTAAGGATGAAGCAGCATGCAAAGGGATGGTACTGCAGGTACATTTTGTTCATCTTGGGAGCTACTTTGCATGTAGTGTCTTAATTCATTCCTTATCTACACCAAACAGTGGCTGTTGGTTTTAGTTTTTAAACTTGCAGCAAGTTTGGAGGAAAAAAAATTGAGCATTCAAAGGCCATTTCACACTTTTTGGTGGACTAGATGACCTTTACAGATCCATTCCAACTCACATGATTCCATAATTCCATAACTGAGTTTGCAAAGTGCTTTTGGTGCAGTGTGGTTAAATGTTTTATCTACGAGATTCAATCCTGTGAGATTCCCTTTAGAAAGACAGAGCACAGCATGTCCTTCAGCTGGGAACAGAGGGGGAAGCAATGTGTGATATTTGCCCCTCGCCATATTGCCATCTCCTTCCTTCTCAGTGTTTTACTCGCTCACCTGGAGTCTCCCATTTACACAGCATGGACAGGCTGCAGCTGCTCACCAAGCACTTCTGGTCTTGGTCACAGCATACCTGTTTGTCATTTTGTCCTTCCTTTATGTTGCTGTCGCCCCAGTGCCATGGCTGTTGGGTTCTGGCCCCTTCTTGGTTGTGCTTTCCCCACTGTCCCTGTGACCATCCATACCCTCCAGCACTTGGGGCTGTATGAGAAAAACATGCAACGTGTGCTTCTGAGCCAACCAGAGGAGGGGTGAGAGCAAAATGTGCTGCTGGTGTAGAGACTTCTCACCCCATGGACACCAACGTGTTGCTGGTTACAATTGCTGTCTTTGAGAAGAGCAGGGCTGGAGGGAAGGCAGGGTACTGGGGCTCAGCTTGGTGTGCCAGCACCGCCAGCACCACCGCTGTGGAACAGGATGTGTGTCCTCCCTCATGCACCACAGCTGTGGGAGGGCTTCGCCGTGAGCAAGGTCAGGTATGGATGTGTGTCAGGAGGGGCTTTTCACACCAGTCCTCACTGTTGCACAACCCTGTTCCCAGCAGGAACGCAGCCGATCGGTGGAAGTATCACCCAATTAGACTGGGTTTGTCTCCAGACAAGAGACACGGACCTGCTCCTCGAGCTGCCCCTGGCCAGGGCATGACGTGAGACGGGAAGGAGTGGGAGGATGCGGAATGGTTTCCTACCTGCAATGCCATGTCCCTGCTGTGACCTCCCGTCTCCCTGCTGCCGAAAGCCTCCCGCTGCCGTCCCGTGAGTGTCGTGTAAGCACATTTCCCTCCCACGCACCCTAAAAAGGAGATCAGCGGGGAGACAGTCAGCCAGCCAGTGTGGGGAACTGCACCAAGAATGCCATGGCCCCGGGGAATGCCACTCCCACATCCCTGGCTGTGGAGGAGGCAGGGATGGTGGGATGGGAGCTGCTACCAGCTCCTGGGAGCTGTGCCACGCCACGATCTCTGGGAGAGCCTTCCAGAGCAAATCCGGGTCTATTCCCACTTGTGTGCTGTGGCAAACAGTGATCCTTGTCAGCATGATGTAAGCTTGTGACTGTGCTGAACTGCCTCACCTTGTTCTGCCACCAAGAGATGCTCACAGGAGCGAGATGTGGTGAGGCCCAGGCAAAGTAGATCCATGGTCTCTGGTGCTCAGGTCGCACTTCTCACCCCTGTACCTTCACTCAGGAGGGAAAGGCAAATAACACTTAGGACGCTCGGCGTTCCTCTTGTGTTGAGGGCAGTGGGGCAGAAAGCGATGGCACAAGAGAACTGCAATGGCACAAGGTCCCCTAGAATAATTTTGAAGCAATGTTGACCCAACCTGACATGGCTCCCGTGGGGTGTAGGCCCTGAAAGAAATCATCCCCGACCAGGCAAACTACTTGTTTTGCCCCAAATTGCTGCTCAGGAGGGAGTGACGTACATCTTTTGTACGACCAAGGGATAAGAATCATGGCATGACCTAGGGAAGAACTTGACAAGGCTTCCCTTGCATACTAGTGTCTCTCCTCTCTCTTGAAACCAGGAGAACTCAAGTGCAGGTCTCCCTGCTCTGCTCTGATTTCCTCCTTTGCCCAAGGTATTTTTCCTCTAGCACTTATTCAGGAATTGTGGTGACTTAGCAACAAGGTGATTTACTCTCTTGGAAATTCATTTCTGGTGGTCTGAGACCCATTCACTGTCTTTGTTCCTTCTCAGCCATAATGCTCACAGCTACTCCTTGTTCCTCCCAGTGCATTTCCCAGGATCAGAAAATAGACATAAGGAGGAAAGCTCGTGATTACTGCCAGTGGAAAATGTTTTGGAAACCAAAACGATCATTCACCTTTTGCAGCAGCCCAGGAACAGTTACAGGGCTATGGAAAGTATTCTTAGCCAAACCAAGCAAGGTTCTATGAAAGATGCTCTGGGGCCAGTATTCTGCTCCTTGCCACATCTGTACAGGTGAGCTGAAGTTCATGCATGAAAAGAGCATGCATCAGTCCAGGATGAACAGTTGTCCTGGTGAGAATCACACTACTACCTGTGCACTAGAACATATGCTGAGCTCAGCTTCTCATTCAGGAAGATGTTTAAGGAGCAGACAGTAGCATCAGGAAATAATATAATCAGGTCAGACATATGAAGTTCTCCTCTTGAGCTGAGTACAAGACACTGCTTATTTCTGTCTACCGCTGGAGCACATTCCTGGTCAAGCTTTGCAAGAATGACTTTGTATTGTCAGAGACAGGTTATCTGGACATTCTCCCAACTGTTGCAATTAATACAAGGAAGCTCTCTCCATGAAGTATTCCTTTCATGGTGAAGCACTGTATTTTTCTCCCTGCTGCCAGCAGTCCCTCCTGACTCTGCTCCACACCAGCCTCATTGCTCTGTTTGCCTGTTAGTACTTCAGAAGCAAACCACAGCTAGCAGTTGTTGTCTCAATACTGAGAAGTTGCTGAGGATACACAAAATACCAGCGATGCATATTTGTGTGGCAAGTGCAAACAAATGAAGAAAATCAGATTACACTGTGCAGTTCCTGGTTCTTTTATAGAATGGATTGTATGGCTTGGCTTGGCGGAAGAATGACTTGT